GATATCAGGGGAATGAGCAAAAACATGTAATACCTCTCAAAGTCTTGGCTTAAAACTGACATACTGATATTTCTGTCTATTTTCTATCTGCCAAAGCCAGTGCCATGGCCAAACCCAACTTTAAAAGGGCAGAGAAGGACAGTTCTTTGCTGGAGGCCATGCTGGTGCAAGAACTATTTTGCTGAGCAGTGATCTAATCTACTCTATTGCCCACAACTATGCAGCTAAAAAGTGGCAGCTCTGGCAGCTGGACCAGGCAATTGGTTCCACAGTTGAATCCTTAACATATGTTCTCATCTACTGCATCTTGATTACATTTATGGTGATTCATAGGCACTAACATACATATCCTATTTATGCAGTAGCCACATTTGTACAGTTTCACACATTCACACACACAGACACACACCATGCCCTCACTGTTATACTCACTGATTCTAACACTTTTTTCCTCTGGGTGCCATTCTGCCTAGAGGTAATAATTTGATTTTCAATAAATTCTAGAGGTTTGGATGATGCCCAAGCGATTACTGCTCATTTACTCTAAGAATGTCAGTCTGGAGGGATTTGAGAGACCTTTTGTGGTGTGTGGTACAGTACACACAATGCTATCTAAAATGCTACTCACCTCAGTCCCCAAGTAGCAGTCTTTGTGATCCTTACTGAAATTTACCTCGGTTCCTGAGGATATCTCAGAGTCTTCCCAGTCACTCAGTGAGCCACTTAAAAGGAGGATTCTGCTTCCATTTGCTTAAAGATGGGAAACACCTGAGATGTTTCTGAGTGTAGGAGCAGACAAATATTCCTGCACAAGGGCAGATGTATCTTGTCTGCAGGACTGAACATCCAGGGTAGCTGGTGCCAAAACCTTTGGGTAACAACAACTGACAAGATTTTGTTCAGCCAGTGATCCAAGGGAACTATTTGGCTGGTATAGTGATTTCTAAGGTTACTATATTCCCTCTCACATTTACAGAAGACCTTATAATATATGACCTTACAATGTAGTTTTTCTGTTTTCTCTCATTTGACCCTCACAACAACCCCTTATAAAGACTGGGCTACTTGATTGTACAGGTTAGAAAACTGAAGTCCAGAGAGCAGAATAATTTATAGAGGGTTGTGATGGATTTTCATGGAGGATCCAAGTGTTTGATAACTTTCTGGCCAGGCTGAGGGTCTATATTCACCTGATCTCTGCAATACAATTCTTAGCAGGGTCACTACAGAAATGGATTTTTTTGTGTGTGTGCCACCTGAAACATGGGATCAGAACCATGGGAGCACTGATGCACATGAGTGCAGAATTTCCATACATGGATATTTTTTGCCCATCACCTGCTATTTGATAGCATGAACATATTTGTATATTAGTATTTACCCAATATTTTGTGTGTGTGTGTGTGTGTGTGAGAGAGAGAGAGAGAGAGAGAGAGAGAGAGAGAGAGAGTGAGAGAGAGAGAGAGAGAGAGAGAGAGAGAGAGAGAGAGAGAGAGAGAATTCAAACTTTCCAATGATTCATTAAGATCTACTTTGGTGATCTGGATAAAATACCTCTGAGATGGTTAGCCTCCTAATACCCATCTGTCACCATCTTTCCTTTGTGTGTTCTGTCTTTTTTAGATTGCTGTTACAGAGAATAGTCAGATTGGATTGTGCTTGTGAATATTCAAATTACTGAAAAAAAAAACAAATTCCTGTTGTAAAAAATAAAATAATGCTTTGTTTGTGTATATGAGTCAGTCTTTTGGTATATGAGTCAGTCCTTGAAAACTTAATGCCTTCTTATTCTCCTGGGAAAAACATTTCTGGTTGCCCAATGCTGAAGACTTGCCTGCACTATAGTGATCCCACAGCATGCTGCCTTTGGAAGCTTTGTTTGGAGGGCGGTTGGAATTGCAGAATCTCCATCATATATTTTCTGACTGCTACATGATTATATGCCTTTTTACCTAGGCAGAAGCTACTTCTGATGTTATACATCTGTAACTGAAGTTGCAGGGTATCAAAAGACAAATAACAGAAACTATATCCCAGGAAGTAGATGTGGGCTATTCAAATTAGACTATTGATCAAGGTACTTAATGATCAGTGTGTTTAGACAATTGGAGCTGGATATTTTGTTCTATCATATAAGCCAGAAGAGACAAAAATCAATTTACAAGTACTGGAGCATATTCTATTTGATTGCAAGGGCATTTCTAGTTAGAATAGGTTATGCTTATGCTGTGCTAACAATTCCAAAATTTTAGTGGCTTGACACAGAAAAATTTATCTTTGCTCTCAGAGAGTCTACTTGAGTCAGTGAGAAATTCAGATGAAGGGAGGGTTCTGCTCTACTTATTCACTCAGGGACTCAGGCTGTTGAAAATGCCACCACCCAGAATGTCACCAATTGCTATAGCAAGTGAAAAGAGAAACTGGAGAATCACATAGGGGCTTTTAAAACATAATTTATGCTAACATTTTATTAGCTAGAATATTAGTCACATAGTCCACCTATTTCAAGAGGGTTGGGAATATAGTCCTCTGTGTGTCCATCACAGGCATGCCAAAGAATGCAGGTAACCAAGGGGACATCTTAGATGTGACTGGTGGAGGAGTGAGGGAAGAGCAGCCCCTTGAGAAAGAGGAAGGGCAGTATGTCTTTCTGACGAGTCACCCAGTTTTCTGTCTGAGTTGTGCCAACATTCCACCAAATGAATAGATAAGAAACTCTCTGATTAATATTCTGTTCAGAAAAGCCAGAGAGCTGCAGCCCAAGAGCCATTTATATATAATTATTTCATAAACACTGAGAAAGTTCTGTCCTATGACTGTCTCTTCCACTCTAAAAGCCCAATTCCTAAAAGCATCCTGAAGGAAGAGAGGTAGGGGTATAATGTACTAAGACTCCTTCCTTTTGGTGTTAAATCTCTGGAATTTAGGACATCACTTAACCACTAGTTATGTAATAAAACAAGGTAAACAAAGTAACTTTAATTGTACCAGTCTCCAGCCATAACAGACACCATACCTACTCCCTATGCCCATATGCCTCATTAGGAAACCAGAGGATGAAGGGTTGGGAGAGGAGGTGGAGCAGTGCTGATGTGGCCTGAGGAATTCCAGAAGTGACAAGCTTTCAGCAACCACTAGAAGGCTGGATTGAACTGAACTCATTTGAAAAGGTTCATACAGAATGAATAGAGAAGAAATTGTGTGTGTGGAGGTGGAGTGAGAATTCTTTACCCTTTTATATTTTGGAGTGAGAAAGAAATCACTAGTGGTTTGTGATACTCGTGGATTAAAATACATTTTTTCCCCATGAAGCAAACCTAACAAAATCTTGGCCAACCTGGTTGGGGACTTTGGGATGAGAATCACCCATTAGCGTTGTTCCCATCAGGCCAAACTGGCCAAGCCCTTGTGCCCTTACCACCCTCAGTCACTGCATGTGGGCTGAGACACAGAAAAATTGTGTGACACAGAAAAATTTATCTTTGCTCTCAGAGAGTCTACTTGAGTCAGTAGGAAGACAGTGGGAAGGGAATGGCCCCATGCAAACACTCCTTGCAGGTAAGCATCAACTCATTACTTGAAGAGGGTCTAGGCAGCTTTTCTCCATGTCCACCACAAGCTGTGTGCCCGTAGCACTCTCCTTGTTTTAATTTTTACTTTGAGAGGAACTCTAGAGATCTAGCCAAATTGTGAATGTCTGAAAACTCCAGCAAATATATCTGGCTTGAATGGAAAGCCTGAAATGTAATCCGCTTAGTTGTGACCCATTTTTCCTCTCACTGGTTAGCTACTAAGAGGATTTTCTTCTCTGAGGCCTTTTGTAGGGAATAATGTGTATCATGAGTCTTAGAGAACTCATGGAATTTCAGTATTCACCAGGAAGTACCCCAAGTAATAGGGAATTAGACTTTGCCTTTCTTCAAGAGTATGTTGATATGGGAGGTGAATTAAAGTTTATTGGATACCTACTGTATGTTAAGTACTTTATTTTACATAATCTCAAAATTACCTAGAAGCACTGTTAAGTGTTTGTTAATTCCCTCACTTTGCTGAGGAGAGATTAATGCTCAGAGAGGTTAAATGACTTTCCAAAGATGTCAAGACTAGGGAGCATAGGCTAGAGCGAAAACCTCATGGATCAAGTCCATAAGAGTTTTTCTCACCACTGCATTTCTTGCACCTAGTAAGTGTGTGGCTTAGAGCAGAGGATCAATAGATATTTTTTGACTGAATAATGGGTGGCAGAACAAGCATCCAGAAATTACACATATGTAACTTTAAAATACCGGTCTTTTTATTGTGAAAGACATGCAGCATTCAGGGAAAGTCATGAGATCCAAGATAAAATAAAAAACATGCTTTAGTTTAATCAGAAAACACAGTCTTGAGGTTTACCTTTTGCACCATAATGCTTCTCTTAGTCTGGTCATCTCAGTGGCAGATGCAGATGCCTCAAAGCAATAGAGATATAGCTCCATAATATAAAACTCCACCACACAAGGTGTTGAGAAGAGAACCATACAGAGGCGTGGTCACAGAATTACTTGTCACCCATCATCTGCATTCACTTTTAGAGTATGGTTAGAAATTCTAGGTTTCAGGATCCAGTTGTGATTAATGAAATATTAAATGAATTTTGCAAAATTACTTGAACCATAGTGCTCAGAATAGCACTACCTGCTGGTGTCTCAGATCTTTTAGCGAGAAACTGAGGGAAGACAGTATCAGGACAGAATTTGATGTCTGCCTTAGAATTTGCTTTCTGAACTCAAGAATCAAACAAAGGGTGAAGTTTCTGACCTTAGTCAAGAGACACAGCTCCCTGACTATGGGTTCTCACTAAGCCTGTGATCTGGGCCACAGCAGACCTCAGAATGTCCAGGGGCTTTTCCACTGCTGTGCTGGCCTACATCACCATGGATTATCAATAATGGGATTTGCCACTTAGAAGCCAAGGCTATCTTACTCAAAATTCTCAAGTTATTTTTTTACAGAGGAACATGGCTTCAGTTTCCCACTATTTCTTGCTAGTTCTGGCCTTTCTGGATTTACATGCAACTTGGCCACCCTGTCTGCCAGGATGTACCTGCTTAGAGGAGAATTTTGGCAGGTGTGTTGTGCTAGCGAGATGCCACAGAGCTCTAGGGGATGGGTTTTTCTGGGGAGTTTTTGGAGTGGGAGTGTGCCCAGAATTTGCAGAGAATTAGGAAAAACTCTATGAGGCTCATTCTAGTTGGTATTGAACTTTGGTGAACTGTGAGCTTTTACCAAGATAGCTGTAACTCTTTCATTTCAAGTGAGTAATGTTTTTGTCTAATTCATATCCTAATGCCAGGATAAATTCATACAACCTACCAATCTCCTGATGTTCATCTTAAAGCTTTTCTGTTTCTTGTACAGGACTCTGCAGTGTATCTCTCTCTTTGAGAAAGATCCCAGGGAAACTTCCTGAAGAGTTCAAGCAAGTGAGAATTGAACATTCATCCTTACTTGAACTGCCCTGAGGGTCTTTTGTCAACATGAGCACAGTGGAATACCTTTGGCTCAATTTTAATGATGCCACTGTGATCCACCTAGGAGCCTTGGAACACTTGTCAGAACTAAAAGAGCTAAGACTGGAAGGGAACAAACTTCGTTCAGTACTGTGGACACTGTTCCATGCCACCCCTCTTTTGAGAGTCTTGGATCTCAAACACAATAGGATTGATGTACTCCCTGAGCTGGTTCTTCAGTTCTTGGTCGATTTGACCTACCTTGATCTATCTTCCAATAGGCTTACAGTTGTATCCAAGAGTGTCTTCTTGAATCGGCCAGCTTACCAGAAACACCAGCAACCTGACTATGGGGCCAAGATTCTCTCTAGCATGGTGCTGACATTGCACAATAATCCTTGGCTATGTGACTGTCACCTAAGGGGACTCTTCCAGTTTGTAAAATCCACCAGCCTCCCAGTTATCCTGATGAATCCCTGTCTGATGTGCTGAGGCCCTCTCTCCAAGGCAGGGCAGTTTTTTTCATGAAACTGAGCTCAGTGCTTGCGTGAAGCCCCAGATCTCAACCCCCAGTGCCTATGTCACCATTCAGGTGGGACAGAATGTAATCTGAAATGCTTGGCACAGGCCAGAATGTAACCCTGAAATGCTTGGCACAGGCCAGCCCTTCACCAACCATTATGTGGATGTATCCCCTGAGCATGTGGAGGGAATTTGATGGTAAGCCACATGCACTCTCTTAATGTATCTGGGAGAATGGGGAGGTGTATAGCAACCTTATCCTCAATAGAGAGGTACTAAAATGGGTGTAGGTAAGATTGGGAAAGGCTTGTATTATATACATCATGACAAGGTAGTATTACACTATTGGCATTCTTTTAAATGATTGCATACAGATATATATTTTATATATATAATGTATAATATATATTTATAAACATATATAAATATACAGATATCTATGCTTTATATAGAAATGTGTATATGTATATTTATGGATTTACATGCAACTTGGCCATCCTGTCTGCCAGGATGTACCAGTATGTATATTTATATATAAAGCATACATATCTTATATAGACATATGTAAATATATATCCTGGAGTTGACTTAACACTGTATAAATATTAGAGAATTCTATGAACAAATATAATTTTGACGACTTTCTAGATGCAAAACACTATACTGTGTATTTTTAAATCATAGTAATTTCTGACTAGGATCAATTCTAGAGATTATCCATTACATATTTCCTAAAATTGCCTGAACAGACTCACCTGGGGTATTTGTTTGAAATAATATTTCCATGTTTCCCCTGCCATGAAAACCTGAATTAAGTGAATCCAGAGGAGGACCTGAGAATATATATTTTAACAAGTGTTTTCTCCTCCTCCACTCTTCACCCCCACACCCTAGCTAATTCTTAACATCAGGCAAGGGTGGGAGGTTCTAGATATTGACTGAATTTTACACTTTTCACCACTTTGTTGCCCAGACCTTATTGATTTAAAGTTGTAATACTAGGATCCGTTGTAATACTAGGATCCAGGGAGAGGTGGGCCCATGGACCCCACAACTGGGGTTTAAACCTGCCTCTCATTTCTTGAAACTCTGTGCTTGCTCTGCTTTTATACCTCAGCTGGAATCACCTTTAATAATACCCTGAGGGTTGGAGCACATCACAAAGCCAATATGGCCTCCCAAGTGGTATATAGAAGTTTTCTAGAAGATAACTAGAAATATCTGTGTAAAACTCGAGAAACACAGTCAGTTTTCCACACATTTATACATGTGGTGAAAAACCTCTGAATGATTAAAAATACTGAATTAACTGAAATTTTGACTTTTTCCTGTCATTTTGATCACATTTTATAGGCTTGAAGTTAAACACCAATGAAAGTAATACAGGATTTATTATTGTAGAGTCTTTAAGAAGAATGAAATGCACCCAGGTGTTATCTTTTGTGATGCTCTGTGATTAATCTCCTTGCCCCATCTATTCTATGAGTAATAATAACAGCTAACACAGACCACTTTTTATCAATCTTATTGAGTAAGTATTGTTATCATACCATGTTATTGATGAGGAAATTCAGGCCAAGAGAATCCAAAGAATTTATCAAAAACCATATACCTAGTAAGGGATAGAACCCAGGTATTTGACTCCAGGTTCTAAGTCACTCCACATCCTGGGGGTGAGAGGGCACTTGTTGAAGGTCACAATATTGCAGTCACACAGTTGTTAGAGCTATCCTGGGAACCATGGTGTTAGCTCAGCAAAGCTAAGGTAGTTTGGTGGAAGCAGCTAATGTGGTTGAAAAACTTCACAGAAGGACAAGTTTTCAGATTAGTTGCTGCCTCTGAACAACACTCATTATTGGAAAGTCACCTAATCTCTCCAACCCTCAACTTCCTATGTGTAAAAATTGGGTACTTGTCTTAAAGGGTTGTTGAGAGGCAAACACCTGACACCAAGTATATGCTTAATAAATGGTAAACACCACCTTTAAAAAAATGGCACTGCTGGACACTCCAGTTGTCTATCATGGAAATGCACAGCTGTTTTGCTCTCTCTCCACCCAGTGTTGACCTCATCCACCACAAAAGATGCTGTTCTGTCAGAGCTGGTCATACCTGCGGCCCACTTATTAGACAAGGGCAATTACACGTGTGTGGCTTCTAATTCCATCAGCAGGAGCACTGTTGTCAACTCCCTCAATGTCCAGCCTCTCCTGGTTCTGCCTGCATTGCATTCTCTTTCCATTCCCTCACAGGATAAAGTCTACATCAACCTGCGGGTCATCAAGCAGACCATGGGTGGAGTCCTGCTGGAGTGGTTTACAGTGGGAAATACCTCTGAAGAGAAGTGGACCATCCTCTATGTTGCCTCAGATGTATCCCTCAGGAAAGAGGTGGTTTACATCGGGCCTGGAATCAACACATATATTATGAATGACCTCCTCCCAGGCACAAAATACAAGGCATGTGTCAGCCTGGAAGACCAGCCACTACACCAGGGCCAGTGTGTGGTCTTTGTGACAGGCCAGGACCACAGTGGGTTGGACGAACGGGAGCACTTCCTGCACATCACGGTGGTCCTGTGTGCAGTACTGCTGGCTGTGCCTATTGGCACCTATGTCTGGGCAGCCCAGGTCCCCTGCAGCTGCAGGAAGTGGGGCTTTCTCTATTGTCCTCATCATAGGAAAGCCCCCAGGTACCCACAGGCAGCCCCACAGCACAGAGATCCCATAGTGGTGTGTGAGGATGGCCTGGGACACAGGGACACTGAGGAGGGTGAGGGAAAAGGAAAGGGAGATAGTGGCTGAAAAGTCTGGGCTAGGTCTAGAGAAGTGTGGGCCCCCAGCCCCCTAAACTGACCTTCTGTGGCTGCTCAGCTGAGTCTGATCTATTTATTCAACAAATATTTATTGAGCACCCACTGTGTTCTTGGCACTGAACTTGACACAGTGAGCAGTTCTTGTTTTCATGGAGCTGATGCCAATGGAGCTTTATCCTGTCCATTAATCATTTTTATTATTCACAATGTCTGAAAATTAATAAATATTTCTATTTCTACATATATAGTCCTATAACATTGACATGTTTACATGTAACATTCACACATAATATTTCACATGTGTTATCCTATTAAAGAAAAATAGAATTTGACCCCTTTTTACAGGTGAAGAAATGAGGCCCAGAGAATTACATTACCCATCCAGCAGGCAGTAGAGGCAGTGCTCCAAAGAGGTTCTAATTCTATCGTTTCCTCTAAATGTCTGCTTTGCAGTATTCTTGTTCTTCTATTGTTCAGAAAGTGTTATTCTCCCCCTTAATGGCAACTTCCAATGACATTGTGTAAGGTGGATGTTTCAAAAAGCTGTCCTTTGAGTGGTAAGAGCCTGGTGGGTGATGCACATCTTATTGTGGGTGTCCATGTCCCTAAGGGCAATCTTTGGTACTCCAGAGAGCCGGGTGCCATTAGCACCGAGCAACAGAGTATTGGCTGCAACCCAGGGTTCAGGCTCCAGAAAATGTTGGAATGGAAGCTCATGAGGAATGGAGGGATCTCCATGAACCCCAGAGACAGCTCACCATCCCTTTGTGAAGTCAAGCTGGTGAAGACCAGAATTTAAACCCACGTCTTTCTCCCCACAGCTTCTCCCATTGGTCCCAAAAAGAGCCCTGACAGCTGTAAGCTGGCCTCTTTGAAACATCCCACAAATGTTTCTCTCTCCTTCCCACTTTTCTTACCAATTCCTTCTCATCCTTCTAGGCCTATCTCAAGGATCATGTGCCCCATTAACCTTCCTTGATTCACATTTCCAGTAAAAATAAATAGAATCGAGCAGGATATGCAATGGTTTCATTGGTTGCAAGCCCTTGGGGTCAAAAACCCATCTTGCTGAGGCTACTGGGCTCATCCAACACCTGGACTGTGTTGAAAAATCAATGTTGTTTAAAACTAATTTTTAAAAATTAAAGACTGCTCTCATATTCAGACCAATTGTTCCTTCATTTCTTCAAGTTTTTATTTCTTCTGAGCATTAGAAGAAGAAAACCCTTTTAATGAAAATTTTGAGTCATGTAAAAAGTGGAGAGAATCTCATTCCTTCTCATCAGTCAGCTGTAATAATTTTTAACATTTTTGAATCTTATTTCATCTAGTCCTTGCCCTCAACTTTTTTTTTAACTGGAGTATTTAAAGGCAAATACAAAGCTCCACAGTTGACTTGTGGATATTTGTGTTTTATCTATAACAAATTAAAAAGGTTTTTAAAAAAATTAATTAATTTCTTTTTAGAGATTGGGGAAAGGAGGAAGAAAGAGAGGGAGAGAAACAGCAATGTGTGGTTGCCTCTCACACACTCCTCCGCTGGGGACCTGGCCTGCAACCCAGTCATGTGCCTTGACTGGGAATCGAACCAGTAACCACAGACTGGCTCATAGACTGGTTCACAGACTGGCACTCAATACACTGAGCTACACCAGCCAGGACCCAAATTAAAAAGTTTTTTAAAAATGCTATTATCACACCTAAGAACATATATTTAAAAATTATATGTACAAACTTAGTTACATATGTAGAAACAACACATTCATACATTTATATATATAGCAGAATTTATTCCTGTGAAAATTCCCATGATAAATTTTGTAGAAAAAGGTCAGAGTAAGGTGTGAACTTGTACTTCTGTTTGCTTCTGAGTGTCAGGAGCATTGGGTGAGCTGGGAGAGTGTTCAGCTGCTTCTGTGAACATGAAAATTTAAGGAGAGGAAAGAGGTCTACAGAAGATTTCTGGGAATCTAACTCTTTAAGACCATAGACTTCCCTTTAATAAATCCTAGAGCTAAGATGTACATTACTCAGATTGACTAGGCAATATTGCAGTAGGAATAAGAGCATAGACACTGGAATCCAGTTTCTTGGGCTTAAATGTTGGCTTTGCTTCTTGCTTTAGAACATCAGACAAGTTACTCCATTGTTCTGTGCCTTAATTTCCTCATCTGTAAAATGGGGATAATAATAGTACCAAGCTGATAGGATTGTCTGGATGATTATATGAGCTTTTACATGTAAAGCTCTTAGAACACTGTTTGTTCCATAAGCCCTCAGTAAACATCAGCACAATAAATGTTATCACCATTTATGCTGTCTGAGTTTATGTGTGTTTTTTTAAATGTGACTCAGCATATAGACCCAGCCATTTGGAACATCAGATCTTATTAGGATCACATGTGTGTGTACATCTATAAATATATATGTAGTAACATAGTATCTATGCTAATATCCTTCACATGTTCTGTTAAATTAATGTCTAAAGGTGCTATAGTTTTAGATTCAGTTGCGCAATTTTAAGGCAGTGCTTTTGATTCAGGAGATATTTGTAAGTGGGGCTACTCACTTTTAGGATAAAGCCACTGTTAGTCTCAGGCCTCTGCTATTGGCAACCTGAGAGAGGAATTTTGTCCTTTTTCTCTTTTTTTTCCTAGTTCATTAGTTTGTATTCCTAACACCTAGCAGAGGATCTGGCACATGTGATATACTCAGAAACTGTGCTATTAAAGGAATGATTGAGTAAATTATATTGGTAGCCAAGGAGATACATTTGTAGAATTTCATGTCATGCAAATACCCTCAGTATCACCAGCCTGTTGCTGCAAAATAAGATCACTTACTTTATTGATCACAAATTAAGCCATCACTACCTCATTCAGCAAACTAGTCCCTTCAAAGCACCACCTCCCTAAAAGTTATTACTGTTAATCTCCTAAGGGGTCTTTCATGTGTCCTCTCCACATGCCAGTTTGGCAGCTTTAGTCTCATGTGTCATCTTCACTCCTCTTCTTGTCCATCCTTCCATGGCCAGGACCCTGAAGACTATCAAGGAAACCTGACTGCCTGCCAACAGATGCCAACATGCATGTTAGGTGGGCTGACCCTCCTAGATCTCCCTCCTTGCTCCTGCAGGTACAAAGGAAAGGTTCCAAGGCCCAGAAGTGGATGAAATCATCCTGGAGAGAAGGATGTGTAGAAGGGGTCCTTTCCTTCAGGATGTGCTACTCTAGCACATGAACTGTCAGCCACCCTCAAATGCTCTCTTGTACAACTAAGAATAACAATAGTCTCCTGAGTTTGTATCAGCACATGCAAAACTGGTGCCAGGTGCTTTACATAGATTAGCTCTTATCATGTCATCCTCTTCATAATGATTCTTTGTACCATTTATTGCTGAGAAAACTGAGGCCCAAAGTCACACTTAAGCGGCAGAACCAGGATTCAGACCCAGGGCTGTTAGACTGTAAAGCACTATATTATTTCATATAATTAGAATGTCTGAGCTCAGCTACAGGGAGAAACACACACTATTTTGCAGATTTCTTTTAGTCATATCTATTGATTGCTCATGGGCCTAAAGCTGCATTCTTATGACCCAGGATAGGTGGACCTGCCCAGTCTATCACTTCTGCCTCCCAGCTCCTTACCTTGAGGCCTAACATTGTCCTAGCTTGTAGCCTAGGCCCTTCCCAGTATAACTGAGCAAGTAGCTCCTTGGCCCCCACCATTCCTTACATCAGTGAAATCAGCCCAGCCTCACTCACACAGGCTGGGGGTCTCCTTCAATGCCAAACAGGTGTGTTGGTGGCTCATGTTTAGTGATATTGTCCTTCTCTCTCTCAATGTGGCTCATTCTGGCAACTAGGCACTTTCCCATACTTTTCAGTGTAAGAGTTGCCCACATGCCCAGTTTCCAAGATTGGCTCTGCCTTTGTTCAAGTTCCCAGGCTTGTCCCCTCCCAGGGCCCTGATGCTGGCTTGAGATCCCAGTCTGGAGGCCTTCAAGACCATTGTCACAGAGGCAACACTGCTTCTCAGGTTGTCATGCCTACATCAGGTCCCCTAATTCCTGCCCTTGCTGTGTTGGGGTTAATTAGTTCTAGATCCAGATTCCATTCCTCCTCAAGCAGCCCTGCCAAGAAGAAAACCTAGTCCAGGCCCACAACATGCCATGCATAGGTAGACAAGCCCTGCAAATGTGCTGCTGTTAGAGAGTCTGCACAGCAATTTGGACAAAATTTTGCAGCTATACACAGAATTAGACCTGGGTGTCAAAGGATGGATCTACCTACCAAAGGAGCCAGGAGGCTGATGTGCTTGGATATATGTCAGGAAGACTAGCTTCTAGGAGTCAACTATCACAAATGGTAGCAGAAATTGACAGGTCAGCTTGGCTGTTGGTTAGCAGATTTTATTTATAATTTTAAAGAGAGATTAATTGCATGCACATTGGAAGGATACTTTATTTCCTGTGGGGGGCAAACCTGATCCAGCACAGCCCTCTCCTGAATCATAGACTGCAAAGGACCTGTTTGTTGGGCTCCTGACTTCTTACAGTCTACCTCTTAATACTGTCTGGGTCAGTCCTGGGTTATATTGTACAAAACAGGAGTGACCCTAAGGAGCAGAGAGTGGAAAAATGGGGTGGGGAAGAGAGAGGTCAGGGGCTATGCTCTAGAAATAAGCCTTGTTAGCTACACTCTTCTCAAACTTTTGCCTGAGCTCAGAAACCAGAGCTGACTGGATAGGGCTTTCCAAGGCTTTGGGTTTGGATGACTGTTGAGGCTGTAGAGGGGTGAGTGAGCCAGAGACCGTAGGCACAGTCCAGGGGGCTGCACCCATGCTGGGTACCATTCTAGGTAGAGGAGGAGGGACTGGGGCTCTAGGGACTGGGAGACTTCCTAGGCTGTTTTTGTTGCAGTTCTCATTGGGAGGATCCTCTCTGAGCAGAAACTTAGCAGCAGCCTTGGTCTTGTTGAACTTGAGCCACTCGATATGGACAGCGTGGGGTGCAGGGCTGGGCCGCTTGCGGAGCACACGCCGCACTGGCAAGACCTTGTTGGTTTTCTTGTTGCGCCAGAAGGTGGCAGTGGAGATGAGGACAGTAGTAGCCACTATAATGGCCATGATGCCGGCCAACACACCCACAGCCTTCATGGGATTGTCTTTCGTCTGCATTAGGAAGGTGTCCATAGGGTTTCGGGACAGCATCTGGAAGAGAGAGGCACCCCTGCATTCAGCTGCCCTGCCTAGTCCCTGGAGGACAGAGCAGGGGTCATGAGCTCCCTTAAGCCCGATGGTTTTTAAACTTTCTGGCATCAGGTATTCCTTGATAATCTGATGAGCACTATGGGCTTCATCCCAGAAAAATGCACAAAGAGAAAAAAACACAATGCATGCAACCTATCAGAAAAAAATGCACACAGAGAAAGCACGATGCAAACACCATCTTTTGGATTAAGACCTCCTCATTAGCTGGACTCTGTTCTCCAGAGAGTAGGATATCATTTACCTTTGATTATGGGGTGCACATCTTCTCAAATCTAACAAGAACTCTTAAGATAATGACTTTCTTCCTGACACTGGGCTGAGAACTATGTATGAGGGGGGACTAAAAAAACAGAATTTATTTATTAAAAATTGTATATTTATTATTACATGTTTAAACTTCACTCACCGTCAGAGGACTCTCCATTTGATTCAATACACCTATCAAGACATTGTTTCTACTGCTCAAAACAGTGTTTGAACTTAATGATTTTGATGCCTTTTAGTGCTTCTGCTGTTTATTGTTTCACCTCTTCCACATCAGTAAAACATTCCTCTTTGAGGACTTTTTTCATTCAGAGAAATAACAAAATATAGTCACTCAGGGTGAGATTGGGTGAATGGGTAGGGTGGGGCATGGGGTCATGCCATTGTTGGTCAAAAACTGCTGAACAATCAGTGTGGTGTGGGCAGGTATGATCACACATCCCCCATCATGAAATGGGCAAAGACATTCATTGAGTCTCCAAAAAAAATTGCTGAAGCTGAACAAGCCTCTCACAACAATGCCAGTTGGTACACTGATACAGATGGGTTCCTAGAATACTCACCTAGCAGGGGAAGCCTGTACTACAAGGAGCTCGCCCTACAGAAGATTATTCTGTTTTGGGGGGTGTTGCCCCTCATATAATGATTTCACTTCTGCCTTTCAATATTATGATAAGGAGGTATCATTATTCTCATTTTACAGAAAAGGAAGAACAGCTTGGCAAAGTCCAAAGTCACACCATTAATGAGTATTGAGACTAGAATTTCAACCTGATTCCAAAGCCTGTGTGTTGCACAGGAGCCTTGGCTGGCATGTGTGTGTGATGGCACAGGAGCCTGTGTTAGCATCCAGTATAATTTGGAGGAAGGCTGGAGATGGTCTCTCCCTCCAGTCATGTTGCAGTGAGGCTTGAGATGACCCTCTTCCCCACTCAGGCTTTATACCCACCTCAGTGTCTATAATGTCAATCTTGAGTAAAGCCGTGGTACTGAAGGATGGGGAGCCACGGTCTTTAGCCTGCACCTCCAGGGACCATGTATAGTCCTTGTTGCACGTGACATTATTCAGGGAATCCAGAGAGTGGATGGAGTTCTTGAGCCGGATCTCCCCTGTGTATGCATCAATGTCGAACACGTTGGCTGGCTCTGCATGGGTGATGGAATAGTCCACCAGGTTATTGGGCTCCTCTGCATCCTGGTCTGTGGCCTGTGCACAGGGAGGAACAGACATGGTTGGGTTTCTAGGAAAGTACTTGTTTACTCAGGCTAAACCAACATGACATATGGGGCTTGCTGGTTGATGGGGAAGGGTCCTGATCCTACTGAGTAGACAGGAGCTGGGAGAGAAATTGAATGTGTGTGCTACTATGAGCCAGTGTCCATGCCAGGCCCTCTGTGTATGTTATGCCGTTCTATTCTCAGAACAATCCTGGTAGTAGGCATTGTTGAAAAACAAAAGCTTTGGTACTAAGTGACTTGTCTAAGTATAGACAGGTAGAGGGAGGGGAGCTGAAAGTCAAGTCTGTTGGGTTTCAGAGTCCCTGCTCTTCCACATTGGGAAGACAGTGTAGAACAGTGGGAAAGACACTGCTTAGAAAGTGGGCAGACTGGCTATGTGAATGAAGGTAAAGCAATACTTAACTTGTCTGAGACTCAATCTTTTGTTTCATTAAGTGGCAATGGTACTTTCTTTTCAGAGGTTATTTCTGGGTTGAGGTGAGGATGGGGACATATAAAGTATCTTAAAAACCCTTGCCCAGAGTGAGAATCCAATATATTTTATTTTAAAAGAAATTCTTATGCCACAATATCTCTTGCAGCTGCTAAAATAAGGCTTTTAGGGGAGCTTAGCTGTCTTTAAAGCACACCTCAATTTTCACTGAGGTCCCCAGCACCATCGTCTTCTTCTGTATGCTCTTTCCAAACTGGGGATAGTGGTCATTGACATCCAGCAGAGTGATGAACACCTCAGCTAGGCTGTACCTGCCCTCCATGTCCTCTGCCTTCACATAGAAGTTGTACCTGGCAGTGGCCTCAGCATCCAGGTTGGCCCAGGGTTGGGTGCAGATGATCCCAGTGGATGGGTGAACCAGGAAGCTACCAGTCACAGAGAGAAGAGGTAGGGGTGTGCACAAGCACAAGCACATGTACATGTGTGCACACACATAGACACATGCCTATAGTAATGAAATGCCTCCAGGAAGTGGCGATAATGCATTATGCAGCTTCTCTCAGGTATCCCACATGGCCCTCTCCCATCATTGCAGTCTGACCAAGGGAAGCAGGTCCACCCAACTACCCACACCTCCATTAACATTGAACTTAATGACCTGAGTCACAGACCTTCCCTTTCCTTCCATGGTCTGGCCCTCCCTAGCCCAGCACTCCTTGCCTGGCTCCTAAGGTCATGGGCCATAGCTCTGGGTCATCCTGATGACCCTTTCTCTCTCAGATCCCAGCACCTTACTGTGTCCCCAGTACCTCTGCCTCAGGCTCTCCACTGCTTCCCTCCACTCCTGTCCCATGCTAACTTTTGTGACCCAGGACTTGTCCTTTCTAGGTTCCTTCTGACTCTGGCACAGACCCCATGCACCCGCAGCCTCCTTGCCCAAGGCCCTGTATGGGGTTGGATCTACTTACAGGTCGGCCCCCGACCCATAGATGGAGTATCTAACTTCACCCCAAGGACCTGTGTCTGGATCCACAGCCTGGAAGAGAGAAAGCTCCCAGTGCCACCTGCCCCTTTGTTTGGGCACATTGGCAGCTCATGTGTCAGAGGGTTATTTTCACTGGCAAAACAAGGGATTTTTGGGTTTGCCCAACTGTGGTATAAACTGATCTGGAATCCTACCCCAGAGCCCTAGTTTTCTGCCCAGAAGGTCTCAAGTAATAGAAGTACAAAAAGATAAATCTGTATCCTTTGTAAATGAGAAAGGAAAAGGAGGTGAGTCCTATGTCTTGAGCTTGAAGTTAACACTTATGTTTCCCTTATAGTCCTTTGAAGTGTTGTTGTCCCCCTTATAAAGAAAAAATGGAGGCTCCATAAGGACAGGTAGTGTGTCCAAATACAAGCTAATGAGTATGGGCAATTCAAACTGGAACCAAGGTTTGTCTGACTTTATAAGGTTCCCTTTAGTAGTTCCTAAGATGACCCTCAGTCCCTGGGCCAGTCCCCAACCCACTGTGACAGCCACCACGTTGGAGCCCCCTGGGGCATTCTCAGGGATCCTGGCAATATAGTAATGAGAGGTGAACTTGGGGACATTGTCATTGGTGTCCAGGAGCTGGATCAATACATCCGCAGTGGAGCTGAACTTCTCCGGGGTGTTCACTTCAATGGCCAGGAGCTGAAGAAGGAAGGAGGAAAATAAAGACTTGTCTGGGTGGCAATCACTTCCTGTCTCAGGCCTGGCCCAAGACCCACCTCAGTTCCCTGGATCCTGGCTCTGTTCCTACTGTCAGCTGCTATTCCTACCACCACTCGCAGGAGCCACCTGTAAAGCACTCCATCATTTTCCCCACAAACTTGCAATGCCAGCTTTCTTATAGTTTCCACCTGTATTTAGGCCAATTTCTTTTGTTCGACTGATTTGTTTATTTCTTTTTAGTTCCAATTTTAAAATTTATTGTGCTTTATTATATAATTTAGTATATATAGAGAAAGTTCCTGCCTTGTTCTTTTTTTCTGAATTTTCACAACTGTTCTTATAGGTTTATTTCTCCAGATAAAAACCTGTGCAATTGTGTCAAGTCCTCTTACCACCCCTCTGAAGGAAACTTAAGGTAAGACTTAACTGAGGTGGCATTGGATTCTTTACAATAAGAATTTGCATTTTTAACAGGTTTTCCTTCTTTATATCCCTTTGTTAAATTTTTACAATTTCTTTGTCATTTAAGTCTTATCTATTTCTTGATACAGTTATTCCTAGGAATTTTTTTCTGAGTTCTTATTGTAAAAAACATTTATTCTATTATTCCCATTGCTATTTTTTGTATGTAGGAAAACTATAAAATTTTGTGTATTAACTTTGTAATCAATCATGTTAACAACTTTGCCATGTTTCTAACAGTTTTTCAATTTCTCTTAGGTTTTTCTAATCACTTCACCTAAAAATAATGATAAATTTGTCTTCCTCTCTAATGCTTATACCTCTTATGTCCTTCCTTTATCCAGGGATAATGTTATCCTAGGAAAAGTGTTAAATAATGCTTGTCACAGTGGGCATTCAAATTTTGTTTCTGACTTCACAGAATGGTTTTAGAATTTCACTTTTAAGAATGATGCTGGCTATGTGTGCATGATGTATAATTATAAATAATTATAACAATTTAGGATAAGGGGGTATAAGGGCACTAAATAGTGATGGAAAATATAATAAAGATTAAATAAAAATTTAAATAATAACAGCATTTTTACCTTTTATGTATATATTATTTGTTTATGTAAAATAGGCATTGTTTATATTTATAATTTTAAATAATTACAAATACAAAGGAGTGCTTTTTTAATGTTCTACTAAAGTTTTTATCAGCATAGATGACAGATGTCAAATATATATGAGAAAAACATTTATCTTGAGTAGTTTTGCTATCTTCATCTACTAACATGGCACATTATATTGGCAGTTTCCCTTCAAGCCCTCCTTGAAGTCCTGGGGATTGCTGTAGTTTAGAAGCCGGAGCTCATAGAAGCAGTGAAGGCAGCAAGAGAGGGATCTTGTATCACTCTTCTTCCTCCCCTCTTGCTCCCCAAATCAGCAGTAGGGGCAGAGGGACTGAGAGAAAGAGAGAAGGACTAGGAGGGGCAAGAGTTAAAAGGGACCCCCTCAGGAATAAATCCAGGTGCTGTTGTGAGCTCCTGGGACCCCCTCCCCATTCAGGCCAGTGCAAATCATCACATACCTTGAAGGTTAACAATTTGAACTTTTCAAAATCAATGGCAGCTGAATTCTCCACAATGATTGTGACTTGGGCCTCATTCAGGACTGTCTGTGGGACCACTCGGAAGATGCCCCCGGGTCCCACCATGCGCAGGTTGAATTTAGCATTGGCTCCCTGTGCAACAGTTTGGAGAGAGGAAACAGGGAAGATGAATGGAAATACAAACTCATATATATATTAGTGTTGAGCAAAGAGCCTTCATATGCCTTTAACCTTGGAAGGTGAGTATTTAGTTCTTTTTGTAGGTGAGGCAGTCAGCAATCAGAAAGACTTAATAGACTATGAGGACTATTCAGGAGAATGAACACAGAGGCCTAGCTCTGTGTGGGAATAGGAGGCAAGAGGATACACACAGAAATGCTTGTTTGGAGGCTCATATGCAGAGGTGCTTTTGTTTGACTGGCTTTTACTTTTTAATTAATTGTGAATGTCTTTAAGCTACACAGTCTTTGATTAGCTGCTCTCCCACTTCTCTCTCTTGGTTACACACCCCTGTTTCATTCAGTTTGTGACCTGCCAGGTCCCTATGACATAAGCAGTGAAGCCTGATACAGCCTCAGCTGTGGGACTTTGTCCCCATACGATTTTCAGGAAGACGGGTGGAGAGCAGAGCTACATACCTGGTCTGAGTCATTGACGGTGATCTTCAGGCCCCGAAGGATCTCCCCCTGAGGGGGGTGCTCATACATGGACAGCTCGAATCTGTTCTGGGGTCCACTCTCTCCATAGAATGTTGGTGGGTGGTTGTTGAGGTCCACGATCCTGATGGTGACAGGGACCATGGCCTGGACAGCTGGGCTCCCTGCAGAGCTGGCCTCAGTCACCTAGGGTGGGATAGGTCACTATGGTTGTGTGACAGGGTGACTCCAAGATGGCCCCAATGATCCCCACCTCCTGGTATTCATTTTTGAGTCATCCCCTCTCTTTGAGTGTGGCCTGGCCCAGCAATCTGCTTCTAACAGATAGAATATGGCAAAGGGAGATACTACTTAGTGATTAGATTACAAGAAATTATAACTACTGTCTTCTAGCAGACTCTCTTACTGGCTTTGATGAAGCGAACAGCTATGTTTCAAGGAACTAATGGTGACCTCTAGGCAACAGCCAGCAAGGAACTGCGACTGAGTCAATAAGCCCTCAAGGAACAAAATCCTGCCAATGACCACGTGAGCTCAGAAGGTGATCCTTCCTCAGTGGATCCCTCAGTGAGAATGCAGTCCAGGCTGACAGCTGGATGGCAGCCACATGAGAGACTTTGAAATTGAGGACTCAGCTACACTGAGCCTGGACTACTGACCCACAGAGACTGCAAGATACAAATGTGTGCTTTTTAAAGTCACTAAGTTTGGGATAATATATTACAACATCTCTAGAAACTAATACAGTGCTATTACCAACCCCATTTACTGGATGAGGCATGGAGGGATGAAGCAGTCACCCAAAGTCATAGCTAGTGAGTTGCAGATGTGTCTTATTCCTTAGTTGGTGTTTCTCTACTTCACTGCACTATTCCCTCTTTGCTGCCAGACATGGGTTCAAATCCTAGCTCTGCCATGCTCTATGCTTGTGTCCCTTGGCCAGGGAAAGGTGGCAGGGAGAGGAGATGTGGAGATACACAATGGATAAATAATACAGGCTGCAAAGCCAGGGTCAAGAGTCCTAGGAACCTCATGAACCATGTGGCAAGCATCATATAAGCCTCTTCAAGGATCTCCTTCTCCTTGTTCTATAAGCATGTTCTGGTCTTATGTGTCTTAAAATTTCCCTCCCTTGTCCCTGCTCTGTCACACCCTAGATTCATCCTAACTCTCCTTTCTAAGAAGCCTGCACCTCTCCATTTCCTACTTTCCACTCTGCTTGTGCCCATGCTGCATATGGCACTGTCATTCTTTCACTCAGCTGGTGGGACTATTCTCTGCAGGTTCCCCTCGACCTCTCTGTGTCTCCTGTGCTGGATCCTCCTCAGTCCTCCTTCTAAGCCTCAGATGTTCCTTCAGCTGTGATCTTGGCCCATGGCCCCTCTCTCCTCACAGCCGTCCTCTGGCTGGCCTCATTCCCACCTAGCCTTTTACAGCAACCTGTATGTTTGTACTCTCTCCCTTAAATTCTAAACCTGTCTTCCCAGGGTGGAACATTTCAGCTTTACTGTCCCTGAAGCAGCAAAATTCATCATGCTCATCCTAGTCCATCTGCCTCCTCTCTGTTCCCGATGGCATGGTACCACCATGCTTGTTCATTCCTCTCTTCTCCCCCACCCCTCACAGCCAGTCAATTGTCATTTTCTGTGTAGTCTCCTTCCTTCATATTTTGCAATTTGTCCATTTCTGCCATTTTACTTCCCTCATCCCCCTGGGCCCTCTTCATGTATCACCTTGGCCGATGGCTCTGCCTCTCTGTTTCTCATCCATTTCCTTCCAAACCAAAGTCAAGACCAGTGTACTCAAATGCCAGGCTGGTCTCACTGCCTTTAGTATCTCCCAGAGCCAGAGGGCAGGGAAGACCAAGCTAGAGGGAAGTTACCTGTACATGTAGCTCGTACACCTCTCTTCGGAGTTGGGCAGGGCTCTGTGTGACCAAGATGGCTCCAGAAGTCTCATTAATTTCAAAGGCCCCATCACTCCCTGTCAGAGAAGAGATGTACCCTGTAGTTCTGACCAGCAGCACAGGGGGTCATAAGGGATTCATGCCAGGTACGGTAACCATACATTCTCCTCATGCATTACCTCACTGAAGCCTCCTCTATAAAATGTCATTCTATCATCTGTGTGTCTTGCTAGTGAGGAAGCTGGATCTCAGAGGGGCTAAGTAACTCTGTCCAAGATTACACAGTAAGTGCAGAGCTGGGACTTGAACTCACTTCTGTCTGGTTCCCAGGTTCCACAGTACTTTGGTTCTCTTATGTGTAGTGTGTGTGTGTGTGTGTGTGTGTGTGTGTGTGTGTGTGTGTGTGATGGGAAGAGAAACAGAGAAAGGAAGAGAAACAGAGGGAGGGAGATTAAAAAAGGGGAGAGAGAGAAGGAGAGAAGAGAAGGGTGGAGGGCAAAAAAAGAGGAGAGAATAAAAGAAAAGAGACCAGAGAAGAGGGAGACAAATAGTAAAGAAGAGAAGAGAAGAAAGGGGGTCATGGGTACTTGGTAATTTGTAAAAGTTTGAAGTGGTGGTGGGGATGGAAGGCAATCAAGGGTCTGTGTACCTGGGAAAAGGAGCTTGTGTGTGGTGGTAGTCATGTTTGTCCATGCATGAGCCTCTACATCCTAGGGACAGGGTTGGAGGAGGGAATAGTGCCTGGGTGAGAGCATGTAGACATATGGATGATAGGAACAGGCATTAGGTAGGAGGGCCCTATTGAGGGGCCTAGCCCTGTAGGGACCAGCTACTGAGGGCTTCAGAGCCTATCTCAGGGCTGGCTCCACCTGCTCAGTTGCTGCCCAGTTGTGTAAAAGGCATAGACTTGGAACCAGCAGACTTAGGTTCAAACCCAGAGGGAACATGGGACGCCTACTTATCTTCTCTGAGCCTCAGTTTTCTCATCTATATATAGAGCTAGTACTAGGGAAATGTTGTATCATCATTGCATTTAATTAACTAATTTAAGTATATGTTCTAGGCCAAAAATTTTTAAAGAATTAGAAAAAAACATAACCATTTAAAGAGTATAAGAAATGTTGCCATTCCTGTCAATGAGCACATGCCCAGAGCAAAGGAAACATAAGTCTGCCTACCCAGTGCGTCTCTCCTTGTGATTGGACCTAATGACAAGTGGGGAACAGAGAACATATCCATGGAGACTTGCTACTTACTGGAGAGACCCAATAAGGGTCCCTCCCTTACAGCCTCTCCTCTCTATACATTATGTGTTTCTGGCCTGATAGATGATGGACTGGGACTCAGAGAGGCTGGGGAACCTTGCTCCGGTTGCCCAGGAAGTCAGAACTGCTGCCCAGTGATGATCTGTCCCCAAAGCTGACCCAGACTCACCATTCAGGAGACTATAGAGAATGTGGTTGGGTTTGCCCCGATCTCCATCCATGGCGACAACTGTCAGTACCTCCGAGCCCTTGGGAGAACAGGAGCAGCTTCTTGAGGCTCATGTGTGATGCTAGGGCTCTCCCCTCCCCAGACACTGCCATATCATAAAGGGGAGGTGTTTCTTCCACCCAAGAGAAGTGGCAGGCCTTTGTGGCCTCACCCCTTCTCTTCAGGAACTTGCAGAACCCACTGGCCTCCCAGGGCTGGAGGGTCAGCTTGAGCTCCACTGCTTCCTCATGCACATGGGTAGGCATGTGGATTACCCAAGGACTTCCAGGCCACACAATTCTAACTTTGCCTCTTTCCCCATACACTGTGCTCAGCCCTCAGCTCTACTGTCCCTGCCTCCAGCTTTGCCTCCTTTGTCTCATCCATTTTTTTTTTTTTTGCCTTCAGAGATGTGCAGAAGGAGAGGTGAGAGACTGGTAGAAGGGGAACCAGCACAGGGGGGTCCGATGCTAAATACAGGAATTGGGATTTTACCCTGTGGCCCTGGAGTGCAGTTTGAAGGGTTTGGACAGAGGTGCCACAACTAGAAGATCTTGCTTGACTTTAGCCTACCACCCACTTCTAAACTCCCTCCTCAAGTCCTTCTCCCTGGCCTGTTCATACTCCTGGGTCTTCTGGGCTGACTGACCACTGCCTCTTCTCCCCTCAGCAACTCTCTCCAATCTTAGCTCCTCAGAGGTCCCACAGGCCTTCCAAGGAAGCCACTATTTCTTTCTCTCTCTCTCCCTCTCTCTCTCTCTCTCTCTCCCCCTCCCCTATCTATACCACTTGGCTACCAGCTTCTGGAGAGGAGGTATTTAGCTTGGGCCCAGCACGTGAATGGTCCTCAGTAAATTCAGAATGCAATTCAATTCCACAGAGAGTTCTTGAGCCCTGTGAAGTCTGGCTCCAGCCATCCCCACAGGGAACTCATGGTCTGGCTGGGAGATCCTGTGAGTGCATATCAAGGATGCATAGAGGGGCATGCTCATGGAGGGGTATACATAATATGAGAGTACAGAGGAGGAAGCTCCTATCTCAATCAAAGATATCGGGGGAAGTGGTGCCAGGGCTGAACTGAGAAGAGCAAGGGGCATCAGGCCCATGGGCATATTTCAGGCAGAGATGAGGGCAGAATGGTGAAATGGGCTGGGGTGGGTAGAAGACAGTGAGAGCTCATGGGTGGAGGGGCAGCTGACCCTTGGGTGCCAGGCTGAAGAGTGGGTCCTTACCAGAGAGGCCAAAAGACAAGTGTAGTGGCCCAAACACTAGGGGCAGAGAGTACACTGAGGGGAGACAGCTGAGGTCAACCTTTGAGCTGGGTCTGTGTGTGATATCCAGAGAGGGTCGTGGTAGTTCAGCAGCAAATTGTAGGAGCAAGTTGGAGGTCTGAGAGGCCACAGGCCACAGGCTTAGGGCTGGGGAAGCACAGAGGCACCTCATCTCCTATATAGGTGTAGAGAAGTCCCCACCCAAATCAAGGCTCTCAACTACCTTCCAGCCTCTCTTCTGAACCCTTCTGAAGGGGTGACCTTTGCGGTTGGTCTGGGATGAAGGGAGAAATGACTGGCACAGTCTTGGCACCCATTATGTGCTTTGTACATAAGTACTCACTTCCTCCCCCTTATGCTTCCAGAGGGGAAAAAAACCTGTTGACCTGAGCCTGAGTCAGCCTCAGTGTGAGGAGGGTGAGCCAGGGCTGAGCTCAGTCATGTCCAGCAGGGGGATCTTGAGGTAGCTTGAAGGACAGGACAGGAAGCATCAGGAGGGAACACTGGGCTGAGGGGCAAGTCACCCACCGGAACGGTGTCCTCATACACATAGCCATAGTAGGGTGTGCCCACAAAGACAGGGGCCATGTCCTGCACGTCTTCCACGTAGACTGTGACTGTGGTGGTGGCCGAAAATACCACATCAGCCCCTCGCAGCCTCCCTCCGCCATCCTGGGAAGAATCAGGGAGTAAAGAGAGGTTGGGCTTTAGGGTTGCACAGACTTCAGTGGAATCTGGCCCCTGCCACTTACATGAAGCAGCTGCCCTCTCTGAGTTCTGTTTGCTCCTCTGTCACCTGAGATAATTCTCTCCTTGTAGGAATGCTAGGAACATGTAATGACATGATGCACGAAGGTCTTCAGTCAGTGTCTTGTATGTAGTAGATACTCAGAAATGCTCTTTTGGAAACAGGGTTAGTTCACTGTCCAGGAAAATTATGTTGGACAAGAGGAAGCAGAAGAGGAAGTCCAAGCCAATTCCCTTCCCAGCCAGGAACCAAACCTCAACACCTGCTGAGGAGCTACCCGAGTATGACTTGGCTGTGCTTAGCATGTAGAATGGAGCAGTCACTGAGCCCAGCCCTCATGGAGTAACTGCAGGTGGGGCCAGCTCAAGTCCCCTGGCACAGGCTGGACTGAATGGCCTGTAGCCAGCATGTGATCAACAAGGGCATTCCTGGAAAATTAAACACTGGACCTAACGACTGGGATTTTTTTCCCTCAGGGGGAGGGCAACCACTTTGCACTTGCGGAGTTGCAGGTCTATACCACACACTTTGGAAATGTGAGGAACTTAGTTAAGGCTCAGGGGAGGGATGATGAGGAAACGAGGCTCAGAGAAGGTAACTGGTCACACAAAGAGAAAGATGTGGGTGAACAAGCTTGGGAGGTGTGCAGAGGCTATGTTGTGGGGCATGTGATGGGACATGAGTCTTCAGGCCATGGCCACCTGGTCTTATAGAAGGGACCTGGCCTGTCAGTCCCCAGGAGAGAACGTGACTTTAGGAGCCCACAGTCACCAGTCAACCTGGAAAATATATTCATGTTTTGGCAGGGTTCACTCAACAGAGATTGCAGCTGCACCCCACACCCTCCTCCCCACCCCATCCCAATCACCTTCTGTCCAAACTGCCCCCACTCCATTGTAGAACCTAATTCTGTTCCCATCCCAGGGCAGCTGCCTCTGACAAAGGCTGAGGAAAGACTATACTCCTCATTCCTCCCTATTACCTTGGCAACCACAATGACGAAATGGGCCTGGGCCTTCTCGTAGTCCAGGGTGGTCTCTGCCCGGAGACGCAGCACACCACTGTGATGATCCATGGCAAATTTGGTGGACTGAATATTCTGTAAGAGTGAGGGGCAAGCTTGGCCTTGGAGAGGAACCCTGGTGGGCCCCAGAATACCCATTCTGCATATTGAAAGGGGATCTTCACTATCCTTGGTCTGGCCTTGGCACTGAAGTTCAAATTTCAGGGCACTCAGCCTTTCTGGCTTCCAAGATCTCCTTTGTTAGGGCTCTGGGTTTCCCCTCCCACTCCCTCAGTCAAAACCAAGAAGGTCCCTTCCACAGGGCCTTAGCTCTCCTCTCTGCTTATCTGGAAAACAGTTGGGTCTGGCTTTGGGCTAAACTCTGGCCTGAAGGATCCAGCAGATAGAGAAGTCAGCATAATGCTTTAATCTAGAGGGGGTGGGGTCTTCAGCTGCCCCCTCCCCTAAAAAGTGACTGTGGCCAGTGTGAGGCAACATCTGAGGTGGGATGGGGTTGGGAGTGGGGAGGGAACAGGAGATGATCCAAAATCTACAAAAGGGTCACTGTGTGTCAGAAGCTATTATTGGAGGTTTATATGGGTTTCACCCTCACTGCAATCCAGTGAGGATGTGCTTTTTATTTTTCCCATTTTACATGAGAAGGAACTGAGTTGGGAGAGTTAGATTATGTTTGAAGGCCCCATGAGTGGGACGTGGTTAGACTTCTCTAGTACCTGTAGAGCACAGGAGATTTCTCTACAAGCTGTGTTTTTAACCACCAAGCTGTGCTGCTTTGAAAATTGTGAGAGCAAGTGAGTAAATATGGAGAGAATAGAAAACTCTCTAGAAACAGCAACATGTGATGGAGGGCAGCTGGTTCCTAGGGAACCCAGGGAGAGGCAGGAGGTGCAAGGAAGGGTCTTGCCTTTGACAGGGTGGGATGTATGGAGAAGGATGAGGTGAGGGAGTCACAGCTTTGCTCCCAAGAGCTGACCCTTTGGACCTTTTGCCATAGACAATTCTCAGCACAACAGCTTTAGTCCACCCTATGTGGGTACAAAGTGTCCAGGCCTTCTCATGGAGAAGACGGGTTTGGGGGTAGAGAGCTGAGGGTCCTGAAGATCTATGGAGATAGAGGCAGACCAACCCAGAGGGAGGCAGGGTGGGCCAGTCAGGAGAAGACAGCTTCTGCCCAGGTCATCTCATGTCCTCACCTGTCTGTCCTACCCCTGCGTTTACTAAGAGCTCCTTGGGATCTGATGTGGCATCTCTGACAATCTCCAGGAACAGTAGATGCACTGACCTAAGGACCTTGGTGATGGAGGTGGGGTCCACTAGGTGTTCCCGTGCCTCTGGTTTCATCTTGGGGGTACTGCCTTACCTGTAGGAAGTAGGTGACACTCCCTCCAGAGCCTGTGTCCTTGTCCATGGCATGAACCTTAAAGATACTGCTCCCAGCAGGTGTATCCTGAGTGGTCATAGCCACAGGGGTGAGTCCTGTGGCACTGACAGAATGCTCAGGGAACTGGGGTTATGGAGGGTCATGGAAAAGTGGGGTAAGGGGAGTGAAGGGCTGAGAAAAGGTGAAAAGGTAGTGAATGACCCAGAGAGCCCCCAACAGGGGGAAGGGCAGTGACAGAGGAAACACATCAGAGTGGGTACAGGAAAGAAGGAAGAGAAAAGGAGGAACAAACAGACATCCTCCCCTGAGAGAGAAACTAAGACTCAGAGTAGATAAACTATTTAAATATGAGCTGAGAAAAAGGTTCATTAACATGAACATGTTCAGCATCACCAGGAATCAAATACATACAATTTTGAACCAGAATGAAATATATTTCTCTTATAGAATTAACAAACATTTAGATATTTGAAAAATCCCCAGTGTTGGCAGCGGTGGCTGGGGAGGGGGTGCAGGGCAGGTGATAGGGTGACCAACCCTCCCCAATATCGTGGAGGAAAGAACACATGGGTGTTCTTCTGGAGAAGCAATAACAACTCACAGCCATTCATGTTTTCAATCTAGTTAGTAGTTTCAAATCTTGGATTGTATCTTAAGGAAATAATTCTAGTTAGAAAAAAGAAACTTTTATGTTTGGAATTTAATGTCTGTTATGACAGCAAAAATTTAAACTGTCTTAAATATCCAAACATTAGAGAACAGCTTCATAAATGATGGAATGTTCACTTAACAAAAGCTATTAAAATAATTATGCAAACTTTAAAATTAATTGAGGAAATGCTTATAAATTAAATGAAAAAATGTATACAGAAAGCATATTTAGTGTAGTCCCAACTACATAAGACAAACAGAAAATAAATCCAACTATCACAAAAATGACTAGAAAGAATACATCAGAATTTAATAGTGCTTTTTCAACCTGGAAGGGTTTTGGGTAATCTTGAAACTCTTTTTTTTTCTACTTTCCCATATATTCCACATTTCCATGATAAATGTATACTATGATTCGGAGGAATAGTAAATGAGCATTCCTTTGGAAGAAAAAGAAATGTGAGGAGATAGCAATGGAGGTAAGGAGGACATGAGAGAGAATGGAGAGAGACGCTGCATCCTGATGCCTGGTCTCTTTGGCCAGGCCACAGGGCAGCCCCAGAAGTCAGGCCATAGGTCTAGCGTGGGAATGCTTGGGCCCTTTCTAGTGGCTTATCGCTTACCTCGGGAACCTGGACAATGTAAGGCTCCTGAATAAACCTTGGCACCTCGTCGTTGGCATCAGTCACCAGAATCGTGACTTTTTCTGCTACCTGAGAAGAGGCAAAGGGGACAGGATTTGGGGCTGTAAGATCTGGACGATAGAGGGACAGCAGCCCGTAATGCTCAAGGTATATGTCTCTACTTATCCTCCTTCTCCCTCTCTCCTTCCTTCCTTCTTTTATTTATTTATACAACAAATATTTTTAAGCAACTACTTGGTGCCAAGTACTGTGTTCCATTCCAGAGATAGAAGACAGTCTGATAGTGTGTAATTTATAGGATGAGATAGGAGGGCAAAGATCAGCATATAAAAGAAGGGTAGTGATATCATTCAGGGTGATAACAGTCTGGAAACAGCATGCTCACCGAGGCCTGCATCCCCTGGGGCTGTGGGTGCATGGTGCAGGAAGCTGTGTCCCCAGGCCCCAGAAGATGCACCAAACCAGCCTGTGGTGTTGGACAGCAGGGAGGTTTCACAGAGGAGTGAGGAGAACTAAGCTCTGCAGCAGTTTGCCAGGTGAGAGGGAAATAGGTGAAGGAGCAACATGTGCAAAGGCAAAGAGGAGTGAAACACAATGAGTTCTGAGAACATAAGTAAATTTATGGCTAGATGGTTGGTGAGGTCAATGTGGGAGAAAAGGTGGAGGAGGCCAAAGGTGCCCAATGGGGAAGCCCTGAATGCTGACTGAAGCTTGGGTTCTACCCTGAGGGTAGTGGGGGCCAGCTGTTAGTGCTTTCTGAGCTGGGCTGTGGCCAGGCCTGTGTTCCACAGGGATGGTTCTTGTCCAATTCAGAGGTAAATTGGGGTTGGGGTCCTTAAGAAGCACGGAGCCCCTGCAATGATCAGGGGAAGCACTAATGAGCGCTGGGGGAAGGTGGTGGCTGTGGGGAAAGAGGTAAGGGAGTAGTTGGGGTCTGGGTGCCCAGGTGTTCAGCTTGGGTGACTGAGAGGGAGGATCCAAGAATGAAGTGGGAGAAGGCAGATGGGAAAGCAGATCTAAGGAGCTGCTGTGGAGCATGGATGTGCTCCATCTGAAATGTAGCTGATGAGTCTTGCTCTCTCCATTCTTATTCTCTCCCTCCCCCACTGACCTCACTCACTTCAGCCCTTACCTGTGGGCACATTGGGGCAGGTCTTGGTGGGCCTTAGCTAGAGTTTGCCAGTGAGTGAGTACCCACCTCCCCCTGCACCCTCTAGTGGGAGGAAGGAAATGTGCTCAGGCCCAGGGAGCCGTGTGTTGCCAGGGAGCTGGCTCAGATATGCACTCACCAGATTCAGGCCATCAGAAATGCTAATGACAGCTTCAATCTCACCCTCCCTCTGTGAAGAACAAGAACTGAGTGAGTGTCCAGGAGTGACATACCCTACAGAACTCCCCTTCCCCTGAGGGTGGGAGGAGCTCTTCCTGCACCTCCCCTGAGCCCTGAGAGGAGGCCTGGAGTAGGGCAGGTGGCCCAAAGCTGCCTTTAGCCATGCTTTCTTTCAGGGCTCTGCATATCAGGGATTCTCATGAACCCAGAGAGATTGTAGAGGGGCCAACAGAAATGCTTCCCAGCTAGAATGAAGAGGGATCTCTTGTCTTGGAGGTCCCAGGAAAAAGGTTTTATTCCTTTTTTTCTCCTTTTTTCCCCCTTATCTCTCCTATGCCTCTCCATATTCCATGGTTTTGCAAAGGTCCAGGTCTGTGGGGTCTAAATTACTCCCCATGACACAGTGAGGAAGGGTGTTGAGGTTCCCAGGTCCCCAGAAAGAGACTACACAGTCACATTTTCACTACAGCCTCTGAGACCTACCCTTTCCTTTCTCTACCCTGGTCTATGCCTGGTGGAGTCTGCCACCAGACCAGAGCTGGCAGTAGCCCCATAGCTGCAGTCCAGTCATGTGGACAACTAGGCCCACCAGGCTGGTGTGGGAGCTCAAAGGGACAAAAACACAGCCTGTGCCCTGGAACCTGCAGGTTGAAGGGTGTAAAAGGTAGAGTTTTACCAAGCTCAGATCCACTCTCTAAAGCATACTTTCCATCCCTACTCTGCTCTCTGAGTTTTCTGTGGCTTACAGGACCTCTCCAAAGATGATATTCAGGGGACCTTCCAGCCCAGAGATGTTTGTCTGCGTGCCAGCAGACTGCACTTCTTGCATCTCCCCATACCTCTCTGTCCAGCTCTTCAACCAGGGTGATGTTTCCAAAATTGGGGTCAATGGAAAAGACACTTCTAGCACTGGGGTCAAAGCTGATGTGGTAGGAGACAGGGTCTCCCTCTGGGTCTGTCCCATTTAGGGTGTACACATGAGATCCTGGAAGGAAACACAGATAGGAGACCTAGAATTGGGGACCCAACTTTTCCTAAGAGGAGCAGTTGCTCTGAACCAAGGGTTCAACTGTTCATACAGTGACTGCAATTCAGTGCCGAAGGTACAGCTCTGAACTGAGCACTTGCTGCTGTCCTCACCCTTGTTGGCTGCCTCCCACTCTTTGTCTTTATTCCTCACAGCTGTTAGTGAGATGTTTGTATGGGCCACTTTACAGCTTGTCATCTATGATACAGACTGCAGAGGAGCTTCTGGTCTGCTGTGCCTAACTCTAGGCCTTAGTCTGGTAATGACTCCTGTCCCAGGTGCCAAGAGTAGGGGCTTCCTGGGGAAAGGAGCTGGAGAAAGGGATGTACCATTAAGGCCAGAGGAGTGTCCCTCTGGGCAGTACTGTCCCTCATGTGCAGATTAGTTCCTAATGGATTTCTGAGCAGGTAGCCTCTTTTACACCACTGTCCCTTTGCTCAGGCTTTCCGACCCAGACAAGGTGAGGGAGAAGTGCAAATCTCTGTCTTCTTTCACCTTCTTCCTGTCTCTCTGTGTATCATTGGGAACTGGGTATTCTTGGGCCATTTTAAAGACTATAGACCTGAGATTCTAGGAGTCAGTACATTTGCTCAAGGTTACAACAGTGTGTACTGGGCAGCTAAGCCCCACAGTTACCATCATGCTGCAGAGTTCTGCCTGCCACATAGAACTCCCAGCCAAGCTTAGGTCTCCCTGCAACAGCACTACCCAGCAACACCCCCACCCAGCAACAGCCCTAGGGAATTCAGAGCTCAATCAGGAGCACAAGCAGTCTGGCGCTGGTGTCTCTGTAGGCTCAGAGGACTGACTCATTGTTGGGTGCCCTGTCCAAGGGAAGGAGGGCTGCCCCTCCGGGAGACCCACGGGGGCCCTTCCCAGAGCTCCTCACCAACAGGAGTGTCCTCCGGGAGGCTGAATAGGGCCATGTTGCCATTAGTGCTGCCAACCCCGTTGTCGAAGAAGTGGGGGGCGAAGTTGGCTTGGGCTAGGAAGAAAATAGAACAGATGGGACACCCAGACACGAGAAGGGACAACTTCGCACCAGCGTGGCCCTGCATTTGGCCCCAGTCCAGGGCAGGCTGACACTCCCCTTTCCCGCCCTAGCACACCCACGGACTCTGCTGGGGAGCCTAGGCAGGGTCTCTTCGCCACCATCTTCTGTGGGCCCAGACTTATCAGGGACACGGAAGATCTGGGTCGCTTAGAATCCAGGCAGCGGTCAAACGAAACCTTTCAATGGGCAAATGGGGATTCTGAACCAGAAAGGGACAGTGCCCTGCCAAGGTCACATCAGACACAGGTGCTCCCTCCCCTGCCGGATGCAACCAGCAGAGCAGCCACCTAACCGCCACCACTGCTTTTGAAGAAGAGGAGGGTAGCGGGGGTCCTGTCCCCAAATTCTGGGTCTCCAGGATACTGGCCTACGGGGAAGTGCCTCGGCAGTTCTTTACCAGCAGGGCCAGGCAACCGGAAGAATCGCCCTCCTTCCTACCTGCCGACCCCGTCCCTCAAACCAAGTACTTCTCTAGAAGTGAACGGTCCAGCCCTATGCCTCTGGTCTCCCAGGGTAACGCCGGCGCCTATCCCTCGCCCCAACAAGGCCCGCGAGGCCCAGCAGTCACTCACCCAGGCAGAGGCGCAGCAGCCCCAGGGCCAGTGCAGCCCGCGGGCTGAGGCTCATGTCTCCGCGGGCGGGTAGTGTAGCTCGAAGCAGACAAGGCCCGGCGCAAGAGCAGCGAGCATGCCCCGGGCGGGAGAGGATCACAGAGGCGATAATGGGGGTGGCAGCAGAAGTGGCAGCTGAGGTAGTGGGAGCGGGGCGGGACCATCTGGTGGTGCGAGGGCGCTAAGCGGATGACACGGCTTGGGTCTGCACCACTGAAGCGCTGGCGCGGCCGCCTTAAGAGACCAATTAGTGCACGGAGAGCCGGGGGACTTGCTTCAGCTGCGGGCGGGGCTGGGGGAAGAGGGCAATCCTCTCTCCTGCCACTCCCCCTTTGCTCAGTCTGGATCAGGAGTCAAGGGCCTCCCAGGTACCAGACAGAAGCAATTTGGAGGGGACCAAGTGTCTTTCCCAAGAGTGCCCTGAGTAGGGCACTCTGAAATTGGGTCTTCGCAGAGTCCCCAAATTCCTGTGGGGCTGGGCTCCACTGGAAATTTCTCTTTTAGGAACTTCCTCTGTGACTTTCAGGGAGTTCATGCTCTCTCAGAGCATGAGCATTCCAGACTGTAACCCAGCCTCAAGCTAGAGGGATCCCTCCCTAGAGGAAAAATGAGAGCAGAGGAGAAAAGTGTGGGCCCTGGGGGAAAGCATTTCACTTTGGGACAAATATGTTCCATGGATAGTGTCCCTGAAGGCTATAGGGTGAGATCAAGAGATAAAAAGGAGGACTGTGGCTTGGAGACAGCACGTGGTGGGGGGTTATCAGGGTTGCCTCTGTAGCATCTCAACCTATGCCTGCCCTGCCTCCCAGGCCAGGCCAGCTCTCCTAGAGGGTCCCATCACTAGTCCTATCCACATGTGTGATGGGCAGTAGAGAGGGCCTTCAAGTCTCCACAAAGGTGGGAGGCAGAAGTTTCGAAGTGGCAGGCTGGCCTCCCTCCCCACCCCTTTACCCAGTCAACTCTTGCACTAGCAAGAATTAGGGATCCAAGACAAGGAAAAATGTCAGTAGTCCCAGAGTGTCTGGCAATTTTCATACTCAATTAACCAAAATTCATCTTGTTGGACTCCAGGCTTGGCCTTTTGACTGGAAAGATGCACTTTATTTATTTTTATTTTTTAAATTCAATCTTTATTTTTTTCCAAAAAAATGTACTTTAAATTACACAGACATTTTTGCATCTTTGTGTCACAAAATGTTGGGACAAATCCAAGGCAAGTGTTCCATAAGTCCTATATAGAGATGAGGATTCTAAGGCCTATGCTGGTCTCCCAGTGACTGGAAGCAGGGCCAGAGTTTCCTGGGGCAAATGTCCTGTCAGTGTGCTGAGAGGAGCCAGCACTCTCTTTGTCCTGCCTGCCCATCTCCTCTGGGGTCTCTGACTTTTCTCTCAGTTCACTCAGTCAACAGACTGGCACCAGAAATGGATAGAAAAGGAGTGTCCACACACAGTGTGTGTGTACATGTGTGTGCATGTGTGCTGTCACTCATATTATCTCTTGTAACCAGCACAGCCTATTCTGGTATGATGTCTGCTTTAGAAAGGAAGAAGTTAAAGTACAGAGAGGATAAGTCACTTGCCTGGGCTCACATAACCAGTGAGGGACAGACTCTGGATTCATGTCCAGTTTGGGCTGGTTTCAAAAAAAAATTGAGACTCTTCCCATGGCAGTAGAAGATGACTGGGAAGCCACTGAATTTTCAGCACTAAGCCCCTTGCTCACACCTCCCTTTCTTAGCACTAATTTTGTATTTGTAGTTTATATTATTATTTTTTAAAAGAGATCTCTCTTCTTCAATTGTATAGGTTGACATTTGCTAGAGTGACCAGACATCCTAGTATCCTAGTTTGCCTGGGACTGAGGGGGTTTTCAGGGATGTGAAACTTTCAATGTGAAAACCAGGAAGGTCTGGAATAAAGGTCTGGGATAAAGGTCCCAGCTCCTGGGAGGAGCTGGTCACTTTAGACCAGCCTCTGTCCTCAAAGCATCTGAGAACCTGGGAAAACAGCAGCTCTACATGATAGTCTCATCATGGACCCTGGTCTTGAACTTGCAGTATGGAGGGCTTGGATGGCTTACTTTGTCATAGCCAGGAAGGAAGGACTCATCTGCCATAGCACATGGGGCTTGGCCCTCCCCTGCTGACTCTGGGAAGCCTCAGGCACACTAGTCACTTTGTCTCCCACATGCCCATCACCCTTGCAGAGTGACAGACTCTCTCTTTTCTAGGGTCTCCTCACCCTAGAGGAGTATGGCACCTGGGGTGAAATACCAAATCAAGTCATCTCTAGGTCAGGTGTGACAGCTCTTCCCCAGGTACATTTAGAACAGCTTGTTCAGCTGCCAGGCTGGGCACGTATGTGTTCCAGCTCCATCTGCCAAAATGGCAGCCCAGGCTCTTGTGACCTCTTAGCTCATATTTGATCCACGTGACTGTGCTAACCTACACTGCCTTGCTTATATGCACACACACATTTACACAGATGCCTACAAACACACACAAGCTCTAGTCCCATTTGCAGACTCATTTGTACACACATATGCACATACCTGCATGTGAATCTGCTCACGTCTCCTTACGTAAACACGGACGCCCAACACATGCATGCACACCTGCACCAAGAGAGTTTGGGCAAGGAGCTCTCCAGGCTCCTTCTGGTGCTGAGGATGTGATGAGTAGCAAGTGCTTGCTATTCAGGCTCATCTTCCTAATGATCCTGACTTGGGGTGGGTGGAGGTATGAGCAGGTTACCAGCACCCTGCTCTGCTCCAGCTGTAAGAATGAGACCATCTGGCAGGCTGACCTCTACCCTAGTACCTGGCATCCTGAGCTGATTTGTCCATTTGCTGAGTTCCAACAAAATGACTGCTTATGATAGGGAAATCCTTTCCAGAGAGGCATGTGGTACTGAGTTTGAAGGTATAGGGTCAGGGGATCCCAGTGGGCCTGGATGAACCCTCTCTGGACATGACTGTGAGGCCACACCTATCCCAGCCCAGGTGAGGTCCTGAGGACTGTCCTCTACAGGTCTGGGCCAGGGTGTATTACCTGGCTGTAGGTTAGAAGTGCTTTCTCACAGCAGTGGGCTGAGACTGGAAAGCCCTGGACACCATCTACTTGGTAATGTGGCCTCTCCTTGCCTTCGCTGCATTCAGAACAGATACAGGGTGGCTGCCTCAGTTTCTTTAGACTTGGGGATGGGATCCCTCCTCTATCATCCTAAGGCCCTGCCTGTCCCCTTAACTGAGGGACTTTGCAGGAGTCTAGGGCTGCCACCTATTTCCCAGTTCCCATCTAGCTGGCTCAGACACCTGGTTGCAATGCTGTCTCTTGGTCATTTTAGTATTTTCAAGTGTGGACAGAAATTTCAGTATTGACATTGCTGGGTTTTTACCCTACAATAGTTTCCTTTGCTATCTAAGCCTGCAATGTGGCTGAGCCTGGGTAGGGAATACACCAAAAAATGTCTTTTCCTCCAGAAGCCTTTTGCTGTTGTTGTTGTTGTTGTTGTTGTTCTGGCATGCTCTGCCCCCAAGCAGAACTGGTTCCTACTTGGGACATTGACAGGGCCCTTGAAAGATGTTAGTGCTCTACTTTGCATCTCCCCAGAGTTCTGTGAACCATTTAGTTTGCTTCAGTATTAGCACAGGGTCCGTCACAGTAGGTCCTTAATGTGTAGTTTTTGAGTGAATGAATGAATGATTTAAATAAATTAAGGAATGAGTGAAAAGGCACCTGACAGTCAGTCTTGGTACCTGGTCATAGTCAACAGCTGACTTTCTGCAGTCTTTGACATGTTCCTTCTCCAATCATTCATAAATTGACAGACTGGAGTAGCCAAGCCAATTTCATGAATTGAAATGCCAGGAGATAGAAATGGCTGAGTGAAAGTCAACAGTGAGTGGTGGAGACTACCGAACAAGGGTAAGTGTTCAGAGCCAAAGCATATTTAAATGTTGAATTGAACAAACAGAATGGTTTCCAGTCTGACATCTTACAGTTTGATATCTCCCACCCTCTGGTTCACACTTAGCAAATCCAAAGAGGAGTTTGAAAGATTACTTTTTTAAAATATGTTTATTGATTTTAGGGAGAGGAAAGAAGAAAGAAAGAAACATTGATGTGAAAGAGAAACATCAAAGTGAAAGAGAGACATCAATTGGCTACCTCCCATATGTGTCCTGACTGGGGATTGAACCCACAACCCAGGTATGTGCCCTGATCGGGAATCAAACCTCCAGCTTTCTGATGCATGGCATGATGCTCCAACCAAGTGAGCCACAATGACCAGGGAAAATTTGACAGATTAAACATTAAATGAGCAAAGGACCTTTTCTAGGGAGCTGTTGATAACAAGTCTGTCAGTTGCCTCTAAAGCTGTTCACATGTCACTGGGCTGCTAGTAAATGGGCAAGGACCAGTCACTGTCTAGGAGACCAAACTAAAGCCCTGGACACATTCACATCCTAGAAATTTTATGATGTTTTCAAGGCAGGGAAAATTGACTGCAGAGTGAATGAGGGTAGTCATGTGTAGGTTCCTGCATGAACATTAACCAGCCAGGACATGGCCTCTGCAGGGCTCCAAGAAGTGTTTACCCTAAACAGTTTGCTCAGAGATAAGCTCAGAGATGATCAGCAGAGTGAGTGGGTAAAGGACTGTAAAGTGTATGTGGTGCCCAACAGGATGCTTTAAAATAGCTAGGGATGAAATTGGTCTAGGAGGACCCCACCTTAAACAGGGGTGTTGAGGGGGAGAGACCTGCGTAGTTAGTTTGGTGGAAGCAGATCGGTAATTTCAGAGTCAGGCATTTCTCATTTTCTCATTTAGTCTCCCAGCAGCCCTCTGTGAAAGGTGGTCTCAGTCTCATTTTACAAATGGGGAACCTGAGGTTCTGAGAGGTCATCTGACCTCCCTGATGTCACACAGTAAGCACATGATAGAGCCATCATTTGAAGCCAACTCAGTCTGTGAAGCTTGCAGCTGTCAACATATAGGTGTCCCACACATTCAGGGAGTGTGGGTCCCCTTTAGTTGCCATGAAGACTGCATATTTCTCTAATGACACTACTGTAACCTGCAAACATCTAGATTCTTCATGGAATCAATTAGGGCAACAGAATTCCAGTTTTCTAACTAAAAGTCACCTACAGATGTTTGGGATTTCCTTATAATCTCATAGAGTGCCCAATAACCTTGACTAGCCTTATGCACAAGATTGCCACTCTAGACTCAATCTACCCTTCAAGGGCAAAGTTCTTCCACCAAGATTAAAAACTCAAGTGGCAAGTTCTGGCAGTGGCATCCCACAGGCGACAGAGGAAAAGAATGTTCCTGGCATTTGGCCTCTAGCTCTGCACAGGCACCTCTATTTGCTTGGGAATCAGTTTCAGACTCTCCGCCACTTCTCGGAGGAAGGACAGATGAGGCAGGCCAGGCAGGCAGGGGTTGGGTCCTTGTCTCCCTTTCACGCCTCCCACACTTGGTCTGGGCTGCTCTAAGGGACTCATGTCCCTTGAAGGCCCCTCTGAGTCACTGCCCATTTCATCTGGGGATGGTCTTTTTAGGGCACCATATCCCAAAGGACAGTGGCTCAGAGCTGTGAACACTGCATTCCTGCCCCTCTTCCTTTTCCCACAGGCCAGGCCGTGTCTTCCCTTTATTTGTGTACATTAAATGTCTGACCTTCCCTACTGTACCTCTCAAAGAAGCTGAGGCTTCTGGGACTTGTGCTTCCTGAGCATACAGAGGGACTTGGTTCAGTGGCCGGGGACATAGCCTTTGAATTTTTCCTCCTGGTTGACTCTTGAGTACAAGTGTATAATTTTGTGTGAGATTTTTTCTTTACCTCTTTTTTGGGGGTGGGAGGTAGGGATAGGTGAAAAGTAGAGGAAAAGGGTGAGGGACAAGGATCTGGAAGGGCCAACCCTCTTGCATTGCTGGAAGGTGAGGGGTTCACATTGCCAAGGGAATTCTAAGTGGAAGTCCTACACAGCAAAGGAATGGTCACTGTGGACTTGTCCACATAGCTCACATAGCTGCCAAGTCTGCAAGGCTATTCAGAAACCCTTCTATTCCTGTCCTCTCTACCTTGCCCATTGCCCTGCCTTAGTTCTAGCACATTCTATTTCCTTCTAATAGCTCTCCATACCTATATTCTCTCCTGCTTACAAACATCCCTGGCTCTTCATCATCCTCCCGATAAACTTCAAATATCTGATTGCATTCTTCGTTCTCCCATGGCCCCAGATTGAATCCCCTGCTTCCCTTTTGTCTCTTGATCTTGCTGTCCAGTTGCTAAATTTTCCTGAAATACTCAAGTTTTCCTGCCTGACTCTTGCTGCACCTCTACTTCATTATACCCCACCCCACACACCCCTTCTCCAGCTGAAAGTCTTCCATAACTCAGGTCAAGCTCATCTTCCCAGCTCATCTTCCCACTCCCTGTCTCACGCCCAGCCCCCTTACCTCAGTGCTTACCACTTCATGGAGCCATGATTGCTTCTCAGCCCTCAAAACCTTATTTGTTCATCCCTGAGCCTCAGAATCTCCCACAGTTTGACGATTACCTACCCCAGGAAGGAATGAGTGAGCGTTTGAGTGAGTGAGCGAGCCTATGAATGATGCTTCTGAAAGGAAGTGAAAGGTCTGGCCTATCTATGACAAGGAAGGACTTCTGGCCACCCTGGGATCATGTTCCTGAACCCTGTATTAGAGAACCTCTGTCCCTCAGGCTTGTGCTTGCTGGGGCTGTCAGTCTCAGATGTGGCTGTGGGGATGATGCACGGAGGAGCTTCTCACCTTGCTGGGAGAATCAGATTAGAAGGGGGCTTCATAGAGAGATAAGCCTCTTAGACCTGGGCCATCTGTCCCCTTTGAGCTGCAGTTCTGAAGCTCTGCATTCACTGTGGGCATAAACGTTCCCCACAGTGTGGGGGCAGGGAGGCAGGAACTTCCCTGAACTAAGCCCTGTATGATCCAGAGCTTTGCTTGTGGGCACTGCACATTCATCTACGAGGTGGAGCCTCCTGTCAACCTTATGAAGAAGCCCTGTGCTCCTTATTGCCCAGAAAAGGGAAACCCTGGTTAGGACTGGGATTTGAATACTGGGGTGTAGGATGAAGACCCTTGCTATTGTCACTATTTCTCATGCTCCCTTCTCATAGTTAGATGTGCTGCAATGAAGGGGTGGCCTGCTGGGGAAGCTTGGGGATGGGTTTCCTTTAGCAGGAAGCTATGGCTCAGGTTCTATCACGGACTTTCTCAAACAAGGATGTGCCATGCATTTTGGTTACTTATTTACTTAACATTTATTTGTATGACCTTTCTAGCAGATTCTCATAAGAAAGATAGAAAGGGATTCATTCAGGGGCCATGGGATACAAATGGTTGGAGGCTAGATGTATCTAGAACAACTAGGCCTCTGCAGTGCTGGTCAGCTTCTCTGGGTTGCCTCTTATCCTGCACTCCAGCAGGCTCAGAGCCCCTGAATTTATAGCTGCCGTGTGTCAGTGGTGGAATCTTGACTACCAGCACTAGAGGGGCCAGGTGGGGATGGAGGCCAGAAACTGAGCCTTGTTTTGGAAACACTACACCTGTGGGAGTGCCCCAGGTACTACCCAAATGCTGGACTTGGGCTTGAACTTGCATGGTTTGCAGATCCCACGGTGTCCTGGGAAGGAACAACAAGCAGGCAAAGAGGCAGGCAGCATCAGTGATGGAAAGAAGGGAAAACACAATTAAGATTCATTTCTAGACACAAAGATTAAAAAAAAATCAAAGGACAAATCAGATTCTACCCTCCTTTCTGGAAGATCAAAATGTGACTTTCGTGACAAACATAACCAGTCCAAGCTGCCTGAGTCTCATCTGGGAGAAATCTGATTTATTAGCAGAAGATGGAGAGAAGGTGGTTTATCTTTTCAGTTGGCTGTGTCAAGAACAGAGTCCATTGAAGCTGAGGGTCTGGGGGGCCTGTTTCTGATGGGCTGGGTAGAAGGGTCTGCCCACATGTATTTGCAGACCCTTGGACCCATCTAGCTATCTCTTTCCAGACAGCACTCTCAAGCAATATGTGTGGCAAAGTTACATTTGCATGTATTGATAAACTAATCCCACTTATGGGAGGAATAATCAACAAAAAAGAAAAAATGCATAGACTGAGTTTTCCTTCATAGTTTTGTTTTCAAACTGGAAAAAATTTCTGGAAACAATCTGAATATCTTAAAGTTAAAAAATGGTTAATTAATAAAGGTATTCCACGATGATGAAAATATTTAATAGTGACAAAGTACTATATGGACTGTTGCAACATAAAGAAAAAAATTATGATGTAATGTTAATTTTAAAAATTAAAAAATGATGTACAATAAACATAAAACCAGGCAAATATTTTACATGAAAAACAAAGGAAATATGAATGAGAGAATTATTAAGTTATGGTAATGAGTTTATTCTTTTTTTCCTCCTTCTGCTTCCAGATTATTACTGTATGCAAGGCAGTGTGATAGTTAAAAACATAGACAAATACCACAAAATTTCACTCATATGTGGAATCTAATGAACAAACTGAACTAACAAGCAAAATAGAGACAGGCTCAGAGATAGAGAGCAGGATGACAGCTATGGGGAGTGAGGAGTTTAGGGGGCAGAGGGATTAAACAAAAAGGTTAAAAGGACCCATGGACATGGACAGCAGTGTGATGGTAGCAAGAGGTGAAGGGGGCATAAGGAGGCTAAATGGCAATGAAAAATGTAATAAAAAAGAAAATGCTAAAAATAAATAAATGAATAAATAATTTCATGGTAAAAGAGAAAAATAAATTATATGAATGAATTAAAAAATAAAAGAACATACAATCTGGAGCCAGATCATTTGGTAGAGCCAGCTTTACCACTTACTAGCTGTATGACCTTCAACAAGTTACTTAACCTCTCTATGCTTTGGCTCCTCATCTGTAAAAATGGGCATAGTAATAGTATTCAACTCTTAGGATTATTATGAGAACTAAATGATTTAGCATATGTGTTACATAGTAACTGCTATATAACCACTAGCTATATAAAAATACATCATAGATACATATGGATACATCAATATCATAGTTCATCCATAGCTCCATATCTTAATTATAAATAAGTACTAATATTGCTACAGTTTTTGTTCTATATTTTTAATAATATATTTTATTGATTATACTATTAGAGTTGTCCCATTTTTTCTCCCTTTTATTGCCATCCACCCTGCATGCCCCCCACCACCAGCATTCCCCTCCACCTTAGTTCATGTCCATGGGTCATACATATAAATTCCTTGACTTCTCCATTTCCTATACTATTCTTAACCTTCCTCTGTCTTTTTTGTACCTACCATTTATGCTTCTTATTCCCTGTACCTTTTTCCCCATTCTCCCTTTTCCCTCCATGTGATAACCCTCCATGTGATCTCCATTTCTGTGATTCTGTTCCTGTTCTAATTGTTTGCTTAATTTGTTTTTGTTTTTAGGTTCAATTGTTGATAGTTGTGAGTTTGTTGTCATTTTACTGTTCGTATTTTTGATCATCTTCTTTTTCTTAGATAAGTCCCTTTAACATTTCATATAATAAGGGCTTGGTGATGATGAACTCCTTTAACTTGACCTTATCCTGGAAGTACTTCATCTGCCCTTCCATTCTAAATGATAGCTTTGCTGGATAGAGGAATCTTGGATATAGGTCCTTGCCTTTCATGACTTCAAATACTTTTTTCCAGTCCCTTCTTACCTGCAAGGTTTCTTTTGAGAAATCAGCTGATAGTCTTATGGGAACTCCTTTGTAGATAAAGGTGTCTTTTTCTCTCACTGCTTTTAAGATTCTTGCCTTAACTTTAATCTTGGGTAGTGTAATCATGATGTGCCTTGGTGTGTGCTTCCTTGCATCCAGCTTCTTTGGGACTCTCTGAGCTTCTTGGTTTTCCTGGAATTCTATTTCCTTTGTCAGATTAGGGAAGTTCTCCTTCATTATTTTTTCAAATAGGTTTTCAATTTCTTGGTCTTCCTCTTCTCCTTCTGGCACCCCTATGATTCAGATGTTGGAATGTTTAAAGTTGTCCAGAGGTTTCTAAGCTGCTCCTCATTTTTTAAATCTCTTGTTTCTTCATTCTGTACTGGTTGAATGTTTATTTCTTCCTTGTGCTCCAAATTGTTGATTTGAGTCCTGGTTTCCTTCCCTTCACTGTTGTTTCCCCTTACATTTCCTTTATTTCACTTTGCACAGCCTTCACTTCTTCTTTTTTGTGACCATACTCAACCATTTCTGTTTTGAACTGTGCATCTGATATGTTGGCTATCTCTTCATCTCTTAGTTGTATTTTTTCTGGAGCTTTGATCTGTTCTTTCATTAGGGCCGTATTTTTTTTTGTCTCCACACACCCATTATGTAGTAAGGGACAGAACCTTAGGTATTCGCCAGGCGGGGCAACCCACATCACTGCATTGTGGTGCTATATGTCGGGGAGGAGTCTGAGAGGGAACAATGCCTCTTGCTCAGCTCTCAGGTGGCTTTCAGTCACTTCCCCCCTACCCACAAGCAAATTAGGCCCTTCTGGTGCTGATTCTTGGGTGGGTGGGTTTGTGTATATTCTAGGATCATGTGGGTCTGTCCAACCAACTGTTCTGTGAGTCTGGGAGTTTCCCATGCTGCCACAATCCCCATTGGTTTGTACAGACAGAGGTTTTGAGGTTTTCTTTTCCAGAGCTGGAACCCTGGGTTGTGAGGTCTTTCTTGCTCCCTAGTTGTTCCTCCCAGTTTATCTGCACACAAATGTGGGACCATCCAGTCCACCACCCACTGCCTCACCCACCGTGGTCCTCCAGCCACCACATTGCTGTGAGTCCTCTCTGCTCCAGCTGCCCATCTCTGCCCCTCCTACAGGTCTGGATCAATATTTCTTTTTTAACTCCTTGGTTGTCGGACTTCCATATAGTTCAACTTTCTGTCAGTACTGGTTTTTTTTTGTTTTGTTTTGTTTTTAATTTTGTTGTTTTCCTTCTTTTGGTTGTGTGAGGAGGCCAAGTCTATCTTCCTACACCTCCATCTTGGCTGGCAGGAAAGACACTTTAGATTGAGTGGTTGATGTCCAGCATGTGTGTCACAGATGCTGTGGAAAAGATATTCCAATCAAGATGGTGCTTTCTTTCCTGGAAGTCTATGGTCCCCTGAGGCATGTGCATGTCCCTGAGTTGATAGCACCAGCTGTGATACACACATGCTGGCTATCAATTACTCCTCAATCTAAAGTGTCTTTTCTGAGCATTGTTTTACATGTAAGTGCTGTGCTAGGTCTATAGGGGCAGTGGGGAGTGGCAGGCACAGGACTCTAGGTCAGTTCAATGAAACCATCTTCAAAAACCAGCATGCTGAGTGGCCAATTGCTGACTTTACATGCTCTCTATTGAGGAGGCAGTTTGTTGTAGTGGAAGAGGTAGGTATACTTGGTTCCTGGCTGTGCCTGAGTCTTTCCGAGCTTCAGTTTCCCAGTGTGTAAAGTGGTGACAATGCTTCCCCAGGGTGGTTCCAAGGATTTAAATGAGGTTGCATGATAAGGACCCAATATAAATGTTTGTTTTGCTCTTTTTGTTCTAAGTTGTTTGCAAATTTCTGCAATGGAATTTGAAAAATATTTACCCTAAAAGAACTCCAAATCCAACATTAGAGCTATGCATGTAGATCAGGGTTGTCACACTCATTTTCACTAGGGGACACATCAGCCTTGTGGTTGCCTTTAAAGGGCCAAATGTAATTTTAGGACTGTATAAATGTAATTACTCCTTAACTGTTAAAGAGTTGAAATTACATTTGGCTCTTTGAAGGCAACCTCGATGCTAATGTGGCCCCAGGTGAAAATGAGTTTGACACTCTTGATCTAGATGATTCTAAAATACTGTGCAACTAACTAAATGCCTGCCCTTGTACTTGCATGGTGCATAAGGAGTTAATCTGGCTCTTTCCTATGAACTGTGTATGTGCCTGTGCACACAGCCTTAACTTTGCTTTTCCTTACTGGTTCTGAGCAAGTTCACCCTGGTTGGTGGTTGGGTACAGGGGAGAGTTTGAGCACACCCTGCTGTCCACCTAGGGATGGACTCCTCTCTTGCCTAGATTTTTGTCTTATTTCATGAAAACATTCCTCCTCTGCTAGGCTAGGGCCTCTGGCGGGAGCAGAGTTGCAGGCAGCCAGTCAGTGCGCACAATCTCCACCTTGCCTGGGCAAGTGCCTCACGCTCAAGTTCAGAGTGTGAGATCTGGTTATTTTTACCCTGCTCCAGCTGCATGTGATGCCTGCTGGTTTGGAAGAAGGTGCTGTCACTTTGTCCAGAGAAGTGGCCTATGGCTGAGGCATGCAGTCTGCCTCCAGTTTTCTCCTTCACACCCACTCCCCCTGTTTACACAGGTTTCTTGGCAGCTGGGAGGGGTGTGGGAGCTCCAGTTCTGGTCAGGGCCCCAGAGAACCAGCAGGGCTGGGGCCTTCTCATATCCTTGAGAGGAGGCCTTAGGCTGCAAAGAACGGGGGCAGGAGCCCTGGGTTTGTGTTGGACCTGGCTGGCCCTCAGCTCTGCAGCTTTCTCTCGAGGATTATGCTTATGCCAGGCTTTAGGACCCTCTTATCAAAGGCCAACAAAGGTCCAGCACTCCTACCCTCACCCTCTGGGCAGCTGTCATGTTAGTCTACCCCTGGCCTAGAACCCCAGTGCTGGGAGTTGGGTGCCCATAGCCCCTCCCTGGATCCTGCCTCCCTTACTACCCACTGACCCCCGCCCCCCAGACCTTGTGAGAGAGGGTGGTGCTGCTCTGCCAAACCCCACCCTGGCATGGAGGTCAGCTCTGATGCCTGCCTGTACCTCTGGGACTATCTGGCCCTCTGAGCCTCACCTCCCCTATGTGCCAGCTACCTCATGTGCCAGCTACTTCATGTGCCTGCTCATATGACTGGCCCTGCCTTAGTTTATAGCTTCCATGAGCACTTCCCCCTGTTTTCCATTCCTCCCTCCTGCACATCTCAGGCCCCTATGCCTGCTGCTTCTTGGCTTGTACCCTAATCCTCCACCCTCTTTGTTCCCTGTCTCCTGATTGCATCCTGTTCTTTCTTTTGACAGAACATGTTCAGTTCAAAATGATTAATTTGTTGACTTTGATGGAGGTGGAGATGATCAATTTTCCCCGCTAGACTAGAAGCTCCATGAGGCTAGATGTTATCTGCGTATGGCCACTCCATAGCAGCGTCTGGTGCCAGAGATGGGTAGGGTTGACCATGGCCTCCTCAGAACTCCACATGCATAGGTGCATTGCTTACCTTTCTGGGTCCCCAGAACTGGGGAGCAGCAGGGCTTGCCTTTCAAGGGCTTGGCAGGATGCCTAGGATGCTTCTTTCCTGAGGATGGACACAGAGGGGGCAGAGACCCTTTCTTAGCATGTGTGGGGACACCATGAGGTTGGTCTGTAGGAATGACTTGTGTGAGCTTCAGCTCTCAAACTTGGGTTCAGAAATATTTACTCATGAAAACTCTGGAGGGGCTAGGCTATGGGAGGGCCCAGGTTAAAGAAGAACCTTGAGGTGATTTATTTTTCAGAAATAAGAAAGTCAATGTGGAGACATATTCTGCCCCCAAAACATGTCTTTCTTGTGCTCTTGTCTGAGAAACAGTTCACTCAAAAGTGTCTTTGCCTTTTGATGCAGTGATTCTCCCCTTGGCAATCTAGCCTAAAAAAACTGCCCTAAATACAGAAAACACCTTATGTACACATATGCCTTTGCCACATAGTGAAAAGTTGTAATTTTATCATAGGACATTCACTTGATGGCAAGTTATACCTAAAATGTATTAGTTAAATAGCACCACTTTGGAGAATCTTCCAGAGATACTCCTAAATGGATGGGAACCTTTATGGAGAAAGATATTCATCTTTGTTGAATGGTCATTAAGGTAACATCAGCAACTTGTAACATGTCTGAAATGGAGGTCTGAGATGCATTGCTATGGACTGCATTTATGAGGAATTCTAATCACTATTTTCCATGTCATATATGCAGCCATGTTCTTTGCAGAAACTTTAGAAAACAAATACTTCCTATAATCTTATTGTTCAGAGATAATTGCTATTGACATTTTGTTGTAAATATTTCCAGAATTCTAATCATTAAGTATTTTTGGTCATTATGATAATACAGTGATCAATAAAAAAGATACAACATAGAACATACAGAGATTTATCAATTACAAAAATGCTTACATGCAATACTTAAAAGAAAAAAACAAAATGCTGAACATGGCTATCCTTGTGTCATGAAATGACTGATGTTTTCACCCCTACATATATTTTTTTATCTCCAACTCCAATAAATGTTAAAATAACCAAAACTGCTAAAACAGGGATAAAAGTAGGCAGTTTCTAGAGGGCTGGCAAGAGAAAAAGATAAAAATACTCAGCTATCTGGTCAAAAAAGGCAAGAGAGATAAATATTCATATCCATAGTACAGGACTATCTCCCCCACTTTTAAACACACAGAGACATGCCCCCACAACATGTACTTTCATCCCTTCTGCCACAGGTGTCTATTGTGTATGAGTATGGGTGATGTTCAGGCTCAGATAGTCTACTCATTAATTTATTCATTCACTCAACACAAATTTACTGTGCTCCAAGCATGATACAAGACAGCAAAGTGGCTGTGGAATTTCTAGCTAGGTAGGACTTAGGTACGCAAAGCAATCTAGCTGGGAGGTTGTGTGTTTGCATGGTAAGCACACTGCTCTTACTTAGCTTGTATGTGCATTTGGGCAAGTTGGGGCTGTGGATGGAGACTGTGGGGCTGAAAGTTCCCAAGCCACCCTTGCTGCTCCCACTGTGGGTGAAGTGTTACATAGATTCAAGAGGAAGAGCCCGTCTTTCAGGCCCAGGATTGCCTGCCAGGGGCTTGCCCTCCAACATTTCCTGATTCCAACTTTCCCAGACACTGGAAGCCACACTCAGGGCCCAGCACACCCTGGGGACAGACCTACCTTCTGCGGAGAAGATGCAGAAGCAGAGAAGCAAGACGCAGAGCAGACTGGAGACGACTAGAAACCTCATGGTGGGCGGCTGGATCTCACGTCCTGGGGAAGAAGCTGTGCCACAGAAGCCCTCCCTTGAGGACACCCAGACCTTTACAGAGTGACTGGGAGAAGTGTTTCCAGATGGGCAGGGCAGTAACAACCTTGGAATTCTCACAGAGGGTAGAGTTAGCCCCTCCCAGGAGGAAAAAACCAGCTTTTCGAGAAGTTGAGAGCATTTAGTGAACTGTAAACAGAGCTGTAAAGGCCCCAGCCTTGGGAGCTTCCAGTGCTCACCTCAGTGGTTAGGGCAGGAAACTCTTCCCGGGGAAGAGCCACTTCCCAGGGTTGAACGTTAACTTTTAGTGTCAGTAATAATTCCATCATATACAGATCTTCCTGTTCATTCCTTAGATGGGGCAGGAGGAGGGCCATAAAACTCTTTACAAAGCCTCTGGGAAGTCTTGAGCAATGAGTGAAATGAAGAGAACAGAAGGCAGAGAATCACACAGCCTGGGTTTGTGTCCTTGCTCTGCTACAAGCACTATGAACTTGAACTTGCCATCGAATGTCTGTGAATCTGTTTCCTATCTGTGAACTGGGCACAGTGCTGCCTTTCTCACAAGTTTCAATGAGAAGATGAGAAGCTATCTGCAATGAGCCAGCAGCTCCTATGGCTATTAAGGGAGGTGGGGCTGCAGCTGGACCTTGATGTGTATTTAAGATGAAATAAAAGGGACTTCAGGTACAGAATCAGCCTGAAAAAAGATATGGAGAAAAAGAACATCCTACAAGGACAAGCATGGGGAAGAGTCTGGCAATGGGTTCAGGAGGCTCAGCTGTCACCTACTTGCCAGACGCATACCATGGACTAGGCTGTGTGCTTAGGCCCCAGGGACATGAAAGACACTGTGTCTGGCTTTGGGCCTTTTGCTAGTGGAGGTAGCCATGCAGAATCACAGAATTTGCATTTTTCTTGTAATATCATGTCCTTCTGTTCTTTGCCTTAATGTGTGCTCTTCTAGCTAAAGACAGGCTCTGTTCCAAGCCTCCAAGGGCATGTGGGAAGACGGTGGAATATGTGGTTCACCTTTTCAGGATCTCCCTGATTCCCAGCAGCTCATCAGACACTCCTTGCTGCCCAAGACTGGCCAATAGTACCCTTCACTGGCCCTCCTCTGTTGTTGGAGATTAGAGAAACAATTCAGACAACATTCCCAGACAACTTGGTGTGCAAATCAGGGACAGGGGGATATCTGACAGACAGCCTGTATGCTTTTGTGTGTTTATAAAAACTTTAAAACCATTCCAAAGAAACTTGTTGGAGCTGCTGGGCTTAATGACTGAATGTCACGCTATGTTAGTCACCCACCCAACCCCATTCCCTTTCCAAGCTGTGTTCTAAATCTTGATAGCTGTGCTGAGTGGGCATGGCCACAACAGAGGGTGTGGTCAAGAAGGCCAGTGGAGCCAGAGGAGGGCGGGGTTGAGGGGGAATGGGTTCTCCCAGAAACAAATCCAGAGTTGATGCCCAGGAAAGACTGGTGGGGAGAGGGGTGCCACTGTTGAAAGGAAGAGGGTGTGACATGTCTTGGCTGTTTTTGCTGAGTGTATGGACCTATAGAGCCAAGTTTCCTAAGGGGGCTTCCTGAGGTTATATCTGTGGTTCATATAAAGAACTATTACCACTATTTTATTTTTCTTTATCTGGGTAGTTTGGGGTGCCACCACCAAGTTCTCTGCGTGATAGCATACTTTTGGCTGCTACTCACCCATTACCTGTTGTAACAGGTACTCTTTGCATTGGCATGATTCTTTTTGCTTTTGGCAAACCATCATCAGAGGAGAAAAGAACAACCTACCTGGAAGAGGGGGTAGGAATTGGGTCCTATCTTAAAAGTTGAACTCTGCTTTTGCAATGGTATAGAAATCAGGAAACTCTCTGGCTAGTGATGAGAGATATTGGTCTGCATCCACTAAGCCAGGACTTGTGTAATTTTGTAGGGCCCCTCAGCCACAGAGTCCAAAATAGCTGTCAGATTTTCAACATAGCTTTTTGTCTCCACAGAACACAGCCATAAGAGCACTGAACAGCTCAGAGGAGGAACTGGCTATTTCAGTGTCTCTGATCCTTATGCAATTGTAGACCATTCTCAGATATACAGATGTTCCTGGGACTGTATGTTTGACAGGAAGGATAGATTCAGATGTCAGAATTCCACCTGCTTTTTATGCTAAGTGTAATAAGCCAGAGGGTGAAAGACAAATACCATACAATCTCACTTCTCAGTGGTACCTAATCAACAGAACAAACAAGCGAGCAAAATATAACCAGACAGTGAAATAAACTGACAGTAACCAGAGGGCAGGGGGAAGGGAAATAACAGAGGAAAGAAAGAAAAGGGTGGTCAAGGAATACGTATAAAGGACCCATGGACAAAGTCATGGGGAGTAGGATTGAGAGTGAGAGGTGGGGGTGGGTGGGACGGGAGACAGTGGTGGTGGGAAATGGAGACAACTGTGCTTTAACAATTAAAAAAAAAACAAACAAAAAAGAATTCCACCTGCTTTTAAATGTTTATAACAAAATTACTGAAGCAATCTCTGCCTGCACTGATTTAGTAACACAGGGTATAAAGTGCAAGTTCTACTCAAAATCTCACTCTCCAATCCCTGTTCACAGATTTTCACCTGCTTTTTTTTAACACTTCAAAGATAGCTGTTAGCATCTCATTTTTAAAAAGGAAGAAACACCCCTGGCTGTTTAGAATATTTGGAATCTCATGTTGAGCTCAGAGAGGTGAAAATGAGAAGGATTTTTTTACAGGAACACCTGTTAGTTTTAAACATATGCAGTTTGGGTACCCAAATAATCAAGTTTGAGGCTTTGAGTAATTTCCAAAGATGATTTGGACATGTGGCAGCCTTCCTGAGAAGAGTCTCCAGAGGCACACCTAACACACGGGAATTTACAGGAAAAAAAAAATTTCAAGTCGTATTTGTGATTTCTAAGGTCAATTAGGAAAACGCCTGAAGCATCCCCACCCTTTACGGTTAGAGCATTTTTGGCCCCAGTCTCTCCCTTCACTCTGGGCCAACACACTCTTCTTCTAAGGGTATTTTATGGATCCTGTGATTGTTCAGAAATGACTCTCCTTCATTTGCTTAGCATTTACAGATCAATTTATAATAGAAAGAAGGGTCAGACTCTGATGATTACTACAGTAATCCTTCAATTCTTTTCTCATTGAATTCTTCCCCAACCTCAGAAACACAGGCATTTAATTTTCATCTTGCAATAAGGGAAAGTCAACTTTCCTTCACTTCACAAAAAACATTACGGCCACTTCTCACTTAGAACCAGGTCTGTCCAGCTCCAAAGCCAAGGTTCTTTCCTGACACTGGTTCCATGAGAGCTCATGAGATTGAAAATAACCTACATTAATGTTTAGTTTACACACCACCCCCAAACTGTACAAAAACCCGATAGCTTCCTCTATTTTTTAGTTAATCTGAACTTCCTCATAAGTCTCCAATCTGCCTCTGCTTGTCCTGCTGCTGGGGTCAAGGCTGGTAAATACCAGGTATGTCCCTCCCACCCCCACCGTTGCTGGCCCCCTTGGATTTTAATGATGCTATATACCCCCAGTCTCCACTGTTACTCATGTCTCTCTGCCCCCTGGTGGGGGCTGTCTACACACAGTCATGACTGTGGGCTACCTGCCTCACCATGGTGACTGCCAGGACTGTGGAATCCTCCAAGGGTTATGCTAGGATGTCACCTTCTCTTCTATGACACAAAGGCAACCTGAAGAAACTAGAAAGTACTGTCTTTTCTAGCCTGTGTCCATTCCATGTTGGTGCTAGAGATCTGTGAAGCCACCACCTCTGACTCCTTTGGCTTTCTGCTCTCTCTGGAGTTTCTGGCTTTTTGCTCCCATATCACACCACCCCCATGGTTTTAGCCTGGAGTCCAGGAATCAGGATTGTGTTCTTTGATTTGTCTCCCTACCTCCTCATACTTTGTGAAAGCACAGGCTCAAGTCACATGATCCAGCCTCTAACCAGGGCTCTCCCACATTTTAACTGTGTGGACCTAGAGAAGGTGCTCAACCTCCCTGTTCCTCATTAAAACAGTAGCTGAAGCTGGAGATGGACAGATCCTTTTGATCAGTGTAACGCTAAAGTGTCCTGCAATCTGAAGATAACTTTCTATTACATTAAGTGGCTAATTCCTGAAAGTGGGGTGCATAGCTTTCCATCTTTTCAACAGCAACCTGTCTCCAAAAAATAAGTCTCCCACTTGTGTTCAAGAATATATGGTGTTTCTATAAGGTGGAACAGTGACTGTGTTTTCTTGCCACAATTCAGGGCAAGAAAAAAAAAATACTAAAACTCAGGTCTGAATGACTAACACCACCAGATCCATTCACAAATGTGGAATTTGAGGAAAGGTGGGAGGACCAGTAGAGCAAGTCCAAGAGACCTGGGGAGAAAGGAGGGGAATGCCTGCACCAGTCTGCATTCCCACCAACAGTGCACTAGGGTTCCCTTTCCTCTGCATTCTCTCCAACATTTGTTTGTTGATTTGTTTATGTTGGTCATTCTGACTGGTGTGAGGTGGTATCTCATTGTGGTTTTAATTTGCATCTCTCTGATGGCTAGTGATGCTGAGCATCTTTTCATATGTCTCTGCGCCCTCTGTATGTCCTCCTTGGAGAAGTGTCTGTTCAAGTCTTTTGCCCATTTTATAATTGGGTTTTTTGTCTTCCTGGAGTGAAGTCGTGTGAGTTCTTTATATATTTTGGAGATCAAGCCCTTGTCTGAGGTGTCATTGGCAAATATATTTTCCCATATGGTTGGCTTTCTTTTCATGGGATTATACCCTAAGAGCCCTGAAACACCAATCCAAAAGAACCTATGCACCCCAAAGTTCATAGCAGCACAATTTACAATAGCCAAGTGCTGGGAGCAACCTAAGTGACCATCAGCAAATGAGTGGATCAAAAAAACTATGGTACATTTACACAATGAAATTCTACACAGCAGAGAGAAAGAAGGAGCTTATACCCTTTGCAACAGCATGGATGGAACTGGAGAGCATTATGCTAAGTGAAATAAGCCAGGCGATGAGGGATAAATACCATATGATCTCACCTTTAACTGGAACCTAATCAACAAAAGAAAAAAGCAAACAAAATATAACCAGAGTCATTGAAATTAAGAACAATCTAACAATAGCCAGAGGGGAGGGGGAGGGGACAG